TTTCCAACCGTATTCTTTAGCAACTTTTCCCCTCTAAAGCCCCAAGAATTTTTAGTTTTGGAACAGCTGTGCTGCGGCCAACTTCTTCTTCAACGTAACGCTCCTTCCTAGACTTCTCCTCCATATTCCCAATAATATCCTTAAACCCCAACATCCTCACATCCCTACACTGCACATCATGCACCCCATAAACATCAATCTTGAGCAGTGCCCTAACCGTCAACCTCCACAACCCCGCCTCCATCACCCTCCCCTCCAGCTTCTCCGCCGCCCCGCACTGGTAAGGCTCCTGCTCGGCCAACGTCCCCCACAAACCCCCATACTCGGAAAGCGTAAACACAATCTTCCGCCTTTCCCTGTCAGCAGCAGCAGCCTCCTGATCAACCATTGTCAATATCCTCATGTACGCGTTCGAGAGGGATGGAAGCAGAGCCCCGAGCATCATGAGCGACTGAAGCGACACCATCGGCGGCTTGGCCAAAGTGCCCGGGTTATCCGGGTTGAACAAGGGGACGTCGCTGCAGACTTTGCAGAGGATGGAGTCGTGGGCTGTTCGGGAGGCCGCTCGGGTGATGCGCATGGCACGGGAGATGGATTTGGGGAGGACTTTTACTGATTCCATTGCTAGGTACAGCGAGGCTAGGCAGCTGCATGTTGGGGGGTCGTTGGAATGAGGGTCGGCGCTGGGGGAGGAGGAGGATGAGGAAGAGCTACCTCCCGGGGAAAGACTGGGGACGGAACAATCGTCGGGGATGGTGGGGATGTTGTTGGGGATGGAGAAGATTTCGGCGACGTCTTCTTGGGAGATCTCGGGTGCTTGGCTGGTGGGGGGTTGTTGGCAGACGGACGAATTGAAGTCGATCTGTCCGAGGTCGGTGCCGAAGGCGAAGAACTGTCCTGGGGGCTCGGATACGGGGGTTTTGTTGATGGGCTCGATGGGGGGTAATGGGTTGAGGTGTTGTGGGAGGGGGTCGGTGGGGAGGTACTGGTTGGGTGGGAATTGAGTGGAGGGGTCGATGATGTCTATGAAGTTGAGGTCGGTGTTGCTCATGTCGAGGAAGGAGAAGTCGAGATCCATGGCGAGGGTTGGGTCGAACTCTGGAAGGGCAAAGTCGTCGGGGTTGAAAGGTGGAATAGGGGTGATGTTCGCCGGGAGGGCTGGGAGGGCTGGTGCAGTCTCTGCGGTAACGACATTTGGCTTGTCTTTCTGAGCATTGGTTTCAGTGTTTTCAGTGGCGTCAATCTTAACATGTGCTCGTTTTCTCGGCCTTCCCATGGGCTTCTGAGGCGAGTAGACGCATTTGATGCCTTCGCGCTTGCATCGAGCGCATCCATCGATTTCTTTGGAACAGGCGAGCTTTCGGCCTCCTGTAGAGAGTCAGAAGACTATCCTCAAAGCAAGATCATCAAGGGCGGCATACGGCATTCGTCGCAGGCACGACGCTTTGGCTGTTCGCCGGCCTTGCGGGCAGTGTTTGTGCTCATCTTTTGTGGCTCCCAGAGTGTCGCTTATAGATATGTATCGACAGATGGTTGATTGATAATTAAGTTGACAACTTGCTCGACAGACGCGAACCGTCGGACGGTAGGTTGCAAGGTTTAAGATGGCGGTCAACGTAAGCAAGCATAAACAAAAAGGACGGGTTGGTTGGGATATCAGCTGAAGGGCAACATGGCCTGTTTGTCCGAATCCACGTAACCGAGGGGTACCTATAAAGGATTCGTACCACAAGCCTCCCCGCGTAGGATCGTCCAAATGCGTCTCATAAGTTCCGTGAAAGTAAAACGGCTCAATCGCGCTCCCGCTGGTCATTGGAGGGGAGGCCTATCTTGCAGTCCTATACATAAAGGGAGCCGCACTTTGAGTGTATCATTTGTCAGCACTCGCCTTTTGGCTATCAAGGTTCACATGTGTAACTCACGCTGCTTTAACAGGGATCTTTTTCACTGTCCGTAGTCAGTGGGAGTACGGTTGATTGCTCGTTCGAATGCATATCCTGGCATGTTTGGTGATTGGCGCGGGCGCGAAAACACATGTCCCAGGTGTATGACTTGGGTCCAAAACATTTCATCTCGAGTTCAACATTCGAGTCCCTTCGAGATGCAGTCGAGAAGTTCAGATGAGGTGGGGTTTGAGTTTCTCAAGAGCTCACTCAAGACTTGTCCCAGACAGGCTAGTGCATCACGTTAGCTTCTTGGCACAAAAGCGGTGAGCGAGCTGGGCCCCGCCAAAACTCCAAAGATTGGCAGAAATCCGCTAAAAAAAAAGATTGTCCATGGAAATTTTGGGGCCATCGGCTGCAGCGCGATAGTAACCAGTCCAGACATCCTAACCCGTCAATTTCAGCACAATGAAGTCAAAACCGGTAGAAAAGAAGCGCAAGGTGAGGGACGAGGAATCCGACTCGGAGTCTGACGACGAGCTCGCAAATGGTCTTTTCGACGGTGTTTTGGAGGCCAGCGAAGATGAGGAGGACTACATTCCGTCCGACGAAATCGACGATGTCGACAGCGAAAGCGAGGTCAGCGAAGGTAGCGAGGACGCCGAGGAGGAGGAGGAGGAGGAAGAGGGGGATGACGATGCGCTCTTGAGCGACGACATTCCGTCAGATGATGAGATGGGGAAGCTCAGCAAGGATGCCGAGGAACTTGAAATTACGGAACCGGGCGTTGACCCAAAGCCAAAGCACCAAGAGGAGGAGGACCGCAATTACAAAGTTGTGAAGGACGCCAATGGTGGAGAGAGATATGTCTACGAGTACGTAGAAAAGCAGCAACCTAGGGAATGCGAAATGGAGGGCTAATACGGGGGCGTCAACAGTGAAATCGACCCAGTCTACGATTCCGACGATTCAGATGCCCAAGGCCCCGTTAACACGATAGGAAACATCCCCCTCAGCTTCTACGACAGCTACCCACACATCGGCTACGACATCAATGGCAAGAAGATTATGCGCCCAGCCACTGGCGATGCGCTGCAAAGTCTTCTCGATACCATTGAGGTCCCCAAGGGCTGGACTGGTTTGACCGACGTCAACACCGGAAACCCGCTCAATCTTACACAGGAGGAGCTGGAGTTGGTCCGTCGTGTCCAGCATGGGCTTGTTCCTGACGAGGGTTATGACCCATATCCCGATACCGTCGAATGGTTTACTTCCAAGCAAGAAACGATGCGTAAGAAAACGCCTGTCAATTGGTGGAACTGAATCATAGCTAACCTCAAAACAGCCCTCAGCGCGGCCCCCGAACCCAAGAGGCGCTTCTTGCCATCCAAGAACGAGGCTAAGCAGGTGATGAAATTGGTCCGCGCCATTCGCGAAGGCAGAATCCTTCCTTACAAGCCTCCTGAGGAGCGTGAAAGAGAGGAGGAAGAGAAGGAGGAGGTTCAGTTCGATATTTGGCAAGATGAGGAGCCAGCGGCACCAAATCCTATGCACATTCCTGCGCCTAAGCTCCCACCTCCTGGCTATGAAATGAGTTACAATCCTCCTGAGGAGTACTTGCCGTAAGTGACGGTCAGATTCGTTGTTCCCAAGCAAACAGACTAATAGTTTCACAGAACAGAGGAAGAACGCGAAGAGTGGGAGAAGACTGACCCTGAGGACCGCGAGAAGGAGTTCCTCCCTCAAAAGTTCAACTCTCTTCGCAAGGTACCTGCGTGGGGCACTTTGGTCAAGGAGAGATTCGAACGGTGCATGGACCTTTATCTTGCTCCCCGTGTGCGGAAAAACAGGCTCAACATTGACCCCAACTCGCTTCTTCCCAAGCTTCCTTCGCCTGCTGAGTTGAAGCCATTCCCTACCGTTGTCCAGACCATCTTCCGCGGCCACGAGGGCACGGTAAGAAGTATCGCGATTGACCCTGTAAGTTTTCCTCTGATTATACGTGGGCACAGATGACAAAATGCTGACCACCAACAGACCGGTGTGGCTTTGGCTACAGGCGGCAGTGACGGCACTGTGCGCGTATGGGAGTTGTTGACCGGCCGGCAAGTATGGTCTGTGAAGTTGAGCAGTGAAGACCCAGTCTATACCGTCCGCTGGAGACCAACCAAGGATGCCTTTGTCCTTGCTGCTTCTGCGGGTGAGGATGTCTTCTTGATGGTTCCGCCACACTCGAGCGTCACGCCTACACTTGACCAGGCAAGCCGTGATGTTCTCGCTGCTGGCTTCGGCTACGCAACCAACGGTCAACAACCAGCCACAGCTCCCGGTAAGGAGCCTGCTGGCAAGTGGGCCAGACCTGGCACCAAGCTTGAAGACGCAGGTGTTCTTGTCAGGGTCACAGTCAGGTCCGCTGTCAAGGTCATTACCTGGCACAGAAGAGGCGATCACTTTGCGACAGTGTCCCCCGAGGGCCAGCGCAGCTCTGTGGCGATTCACACCTTGTCCAAGCACCTTACCCAGATTCCTTTCCGGAAACTCCACGGTCTTGCACAGACTGTGGTGTTCCACCCGCTGAAGCCACTCTTCTTCGTTGCGACGATGCGCACAGTGCGGTGCTATGATCTTCAGAAGGTGGAGCTGGTCAAGATTGTCCAGCCTGGTGCTAAATGGTATGCTGCCCAACGTCCAACTGATAGAGGAGACTCGCTGACGAATTTACAGGATCTCGTCACTTGACATTCACTCTGGCGGCGATCACTTGATTGTCGGCAGTTACGATAGGCGGTTGCTCTGGCACGACCTTGACTTGTCCAACCGGCCACACAAGACAATGAGATTCCATCCAAAGGCCATCCGCGCCGTGCGGTTCCACAAGGGCGGACTTCCGTTGTTCGCAGACGCCAGTGACGACGGCACGTTGCAGATCTTTTATGGCAAGGTGCCCAATGACCAGCTTGAAAGCCCTACAATCGTGCCAGTCAAGCAACTCAAGGGCCACAAGGTTGTCAACCAAGTGGGTGTCGTGGATATCGACTGGCACCCGAGAGAACCGTGGTGTGTGTCTGCCGGAGCGGATGGAACGGCGAGGTTGTGGATGTAATGTAGCTGGGGAGTCTGGATTGGTTCTGGGGAAGGGGGGCGGGTCAGGAGACACTTGTTGTACGGAAGTAGTGCACGCCTGCCTGGGAGCGGAGTTTTTGGGGCTATAAAAGGTCTTGAGAGTTAAATACCATTATATCTATTTGTATTTACCATTGGCAGGAAAGCGTTGTAATGCGACCCTGCATATCTGGTCTTATCATGTGTTGGGCCATGTGTCAATCGTTGGGCCGCTGGTGGTATGGGGTATAAGGTGACGGATCCCTGTCTTGGGCTTTCGAAGCATCGAAAGTATCCTAGTCAACATTTGACTGCATACCGTAAGCATCCATCTCCATACATTTTCACACCACTTTGAGTCTGACGTGTGCCTCGATGGTGCATAATAGTATTTGGAAAGCTATATAAGCCGGACACCTCGGATCTTCGCGGACCTTCGGTGCATATGTAAGTTTGTCCTTCTCCGCCTCCCTCCCCTCATTACTTTTTGTCACTTAGTGTGCCCTACTGTCCCACCCTAACCCATAGCTTCATCTCCACCGACATTCAATTTAACTTCCTCAACCTTAACTTGACCCCTCTCTCTCTCTCTCTCTATCTCTCTCTGGGTTCCTAAACAATACTCGACACCCCATCCCTGAACCTCTCAAACAACCTCAAATCGACCGCCTCGGCCATGGCCTTGTACCCCGTCGGGTTCAAGTGAAGGTAATCCCCCGTGTCATACTCTGGTCTCAGCCGCGTCTCATTCTTCGGATCCCTCACCGCCTTGTCAAAGTCAATCACCGCGTCGAACCTCCCGCTGGTCCTAATCCACCTATTCACCCTCACCCTCTGCTCCTCCCTCCTCGGTTCCCCATACGCCTGGCCCGGCCCGCTCATGGGCGTGATCGTCGCCCCAAATACGGCAATCCCACGCCCGTGAAGCCGGGTGATGATCTGCTCATAAGCTTGAATGAGACGATCCCCTGTCTTGACTAGGTCGCCTTCGGCAGCGGTGCCAAGGTCGTTGACGCCCTCGAAAAGAACAACGTATTTTACTCCGTTGTGAGCGAGGACGTCCCTTGCTATCCGGCCCAGCGCGTTGGGTCCGAGCCCGTCGGCTAGGACCCTGTTGCCTCCGGCGGCTTGGTTGATGACGCTCATTCCTGAACCGCCGCGACGTTGGGATTCGAGCCGGCGGAGGAGTTGGTCGGGCCAACGGTCGTTGCCGTTTGTGGTTGAGCCGCGGCCGTCGGTGATGCTGTCGCCGATGATGACTAGGCTCCCGAGGGTTCTTTTCTTGTCTACCCAGCCTTCGACCGCGGAGAGGATGAACCACCGGTCTACCCTCACCGCCTCGGATGGCAAGTCGACTGCTTTGGTGTGGTCGCCGTTGATGAACCAGCTGCTTGTTCGGCTGCCTGGGTGGCCGGAGATTCGCTTGCCTTGCTGGCCTTGCTGGATGTAGATTGTGACGGCGAGGTTGGTCTCGGCTTTGACGTTGAGGTTTCTGATGGGGTCCGAGATGGCGATGGCGCCGTTGGGGATGGTGAAGGATTTGCTTCCGCCCGAGAAGGTGACTTGGCGGAGGGTTCTGGGCTGGATGGAGGGGGAGCCGGCCGTGCCGTTGAGGGGGAGGGCGATGGTGACGGCGGAGATGTGGAGATCGGCAGAGGGACCGCCGAATTCGTTGGAGAGGGAGAGGCGGATGTGGGGGGCGGGTTGGGTGAGGTAGATGGTTTGGCGGATGGTGGTGTTGGTGTAGATGGAGTCCTCGCCGGTCTGGAACAGGGGATGGGTCAGCAAGAATCTCTCGATACAAGAAGAAAGGTATGTTTGATGTGGAAAAGGAACTTACAAACGGCGCAGGCGGCAGATTATGCGGTTCTACCTCCTGAGGCATCGAAGCCCAGAGATCGACCCATTGACTGCCATCATCATGGCCCTGAACAACACCGGCGAGAGCGAGGCCGAGGCCGAGGAGGAAACCCCGGAGAATTGCCATTTTGACGACAACGACGAGGCGAATAGGAAATGCGAGCCTACCTACCCTTCCATCTCGACGACACACCGACCTACCCTACCTCACCGATCTACTTATACACCACTACAGCAACAAGATGCAGGAACAACACCACCCCCATCGGAACGGCAACAGTAGTATCCATCGGGACGACACCACGAGTTGACCGTGACGGCAATATATCAGGCTAAACCGGCTTTACCCAAGGAGTTGCCATTCGGAATTTGGCTTTTCTTTTTCATGGGCTTTAAACGTCTTAGCACGATGGAGCACCGCGGGAGAACACCGTTGGCGAATGCTACCCTATCACCACATCATCCTACCATCCCCGCATCCACAAAACCGACCCGGGACCCAGGAACATCGGTGGAGAACTGGAGTTGTGGAAAAAACAAGTGTTTTTTTTTGGGGGGGGGGGGGGGGGGAGAATTGGAGAACGGCAAGGTTGCCTGAGTGGGTGACCAGTCGTTGACCTATAATTACTTCGTACACCAGCATCGCCACACCCACACCCAAGTATGGGAAAAGTCCAAGCGGATTTATCATGCAAGCACCGAAAGATCAGATGGACGGGAACGTCGAAGATCCCGGCCGAGCGGCTTGGACCGGCCCGTTGGGTGGCAAAGGATGAGCTCAGATGAAAAAAAAAAAGAAGGAACCGGAGTTCGATTGTTTTGATTGCTCAGATAAAACAAGAAAAAGAAAATCCCATATAGGTATGATAAAACAATCTGTTTGACAAACAAAAAAAAAGAATTCCAAAACACAAACGCTTGCTTATTCCGACCCTTTTCCCCCTTTCCTTTTCATTCCTTTCTAACCCAACTCCCAGATAGCCAAGCCAAGTCAGTTTATAAACCCCTATTACCCATTTTCCCCTTCTCCCGAAATGCATGTCGACAATGTTAGCGAACCGATCGATGATGGAGAGAACCTGCCTCCCTATCTTCATGCCGGCATGATAATGATAACGTATCCCCCCTCCCCTCCCTTCCCTCGCGACCTTCCCTTCCGACCTTCTCTTAATCAAACAGGGATGTGTGCTATTTTTTTATCCTTTTCGCGAGATTATGAAAACAAAGGAGAACGCCACAGCCCCATCTCCGAGCCTAAGGGTATAAGGACGCCACTCATCAATTTGACCACCGGACGAAGGCAGACGACAACCAACCACAAGGCAACCCGGCGATGATAAAACAACGCAACATCGTAACGACAACGCAAGCCATGACAACAATACCAAAGACAACCTCATGACGACAAGCTCGATCGAAGCAACGAAAGCAAAAAGCCACAACTGAACGACAACGATAAAATCCAACGACGCAAAGATAAAAGAAGAAACTGACAAAAGAAATCGACCAGGCCGGTGTCTTGCAGCAGCTTGACTAGGATTCCGACGAGGACCGGGGTTTTGTTGGCGGCGATAATGGACCGAGACTGGCAACGGATGAGGCCTTCGTGGACGAGACAGCATCGACTTTTTGGCATGACAAGGTCGGCCGGCTGACACGATGATACGAGAGCAGCTCGGCGGATGATGGGTGCTTTGCTACGATCAGAATCTGCCCAAGTGGTAAAAGCAAACCGAAGGCAAGGCGGAGACTTGGCGAAGCGACGAGCGCTTGTCAATCGGGAAGGACGGCTGAGAAGATGCAACTGCTGGCAACCGGTCGCCAATGATGAGCGAAACATGTTTGTCATTAGTAACGAGGGCGACTGACTCTTCGGTCGACAAGGCGGCTTGACACGTGAGAGGTCGGGTTGGAAAGCGACAGGGCGCGAAGGGCAGTGATGGTACTCGACGACAGAAGTTGATGGTTGGGTCTTGAGAGGGATGTTTGTCGAGTATGCGAGACCAACCAGTCTACCGGCCGACCTTCCTAGACGGCAAGCGACGACTAATTGCCAGCGGGGTGCGGAGCGCCATAGGGAGCGAGAGCCTCGTTGCTCCAATCTCCAGCAAACATCAGTTGCTCGTTCATGGAAATGGGTTCCATCATGTGGGTCCAGCTGCTGTTGCTAACAACGCTCCTGGTGCTTGCCACGCTGGATGAGTAACCCTTCTTCACGGGGGCCTGGTGCTGGACGAGACGGCGAGCACCAGCACCGCCCACCCAGCGCTCGACATCGTGAGAGCAGATGCCCTGGTGGAGCTCCATGTTGGCGAAGGAGAGAGTGGGGATGTCAGGGGTGGAGGCGGCCTGTGAGGGGGATGTGGCGTTGGGGGTAAAGTTGGAAGGGGTTGCTTGCATCGACAAGGCTTGATCGGCGGCGTCATCAACCCGAATCTGGGTGTCATCGGTCCCGGCGGTCTCGGTGGAGTCCTCGTTGGACATGGCCCGTTGGGTGTGGGCAACGGCGTCGAGCTCCTCTTCGAACGAGGTTGCAGCATCGTGACCGATACGACCGGATGGGATATTGTCATCATTGAAGTGAGGTTTTCTCCCCTTCGTGTGAGTCTCGTCGACGAAGTCGCTCGCCTCCGCTCTGGAGATGACGCTCCAATCCTCGCTGGGTGTGGGTTGATGGTCGTTGCTGGACATTATGGCAGTGTGTGTGCGGCACTGGGCGAGCTGGTTAATGTGAGTGCTCGAGGATGAGGCTGGGAAGCCTTCGTCTGACCAATGTCTGGTCAGCATCGTGTTGGTTGAGGATGTTGAGAGGAAAGGAGAGGAGGGAGGATTGCTCACTTTAACGGAAAGAAAGCTTGGATTGGCACGCGAGGGAACGCGGGGAGAGTGCGTTATCTGAAGAGGCAACGGATGACGGGGAACAGCCCGGAGACTGGGCAGCAGCCAGGGACGACAACGACGGTGGGACACAGGCAGTGTGCTGGACGGTGGGGCGAAATGCTTCTCAACAAAAAGCCGAGCGTGCTGGTGGTGTGTGCTCTTGGGTTGGGATGGAGGATCCGCTGGGGACAGCTGGGGAAGCAGGATGCTTTATGGGGACGACAATGTGGCGCCCCACTGGCAGTCGAGAGAGGGTTGTGGTTCGGGTGTTGGGTTCGGGTTACACAGAGTGACACAGTGGGGGATGAGGTCACACGATGGGAGCTGGTCAGAGAAAGACCAGGCGGGTGCCGGTATCGCAGAGAGAGGGTTGTCACGGCCCCGGGCCGCTGGTATCCAGAACGCATCGACGCAAGAACCCGTTGACACGCTTTAGTTCGCAGTCAGAATCATTGTTCTCCGTCTTCCCGTCACCCCTCTCGTCGTGCCGTCGGGCCATGATGCCCGCAAGCTCAGGCGGTATGTGATACAACAACCTCCCCGGCTGGGTCCAGAGACATCGAGATATTTGGCTGTGGGGAAACTGGGGGTGCCAGTCAGGCCGGCTGGCAGTGCTAGTTGGCAAAGTCTCTTGTTCGGACAGAAATACCTTCGTCCAGATGCTGGGCGGTCCTTACGATTTCAGAAGTACAAACAGCTGCCACCACGGCCTTAAACCCAGCGGCGTAGCGTAGCCTGGTGGTGGGGCGGACGGAACACCTCTCTGCAGAACGGCTGGAGCTCCCCCTCACCAACATTCATGGGCGCTGTGGGTCTTGCCGTTCTTCCGAATTGGTCGTGACGATACCGTGAGACTCTTTCAGGAGGGGGGACTTTTGGCACCATGCCTTGTGCTCTGACCTTGCGCCGGACTCGTAAAAGCAGCGAGGTACACGATGGCCGCCAGCCCATGGCTTCGAGACGAGTGGTCTTGGCTGCAGGAAGCTCCTTTCTGGTCCCGGGGGCATTTGATGTCGAAGTATACATCTCTGACACAGTAAACGGCGAGCCCAGGAAACACTGTACAGAGCAGGCACATAGCCATCCTTGGCACCTCAATGAACAAACGGTGTGAGCCGTGATGATCGCCGGAGGTATGATGACTGCGGACTGAAGCCGCTGTTTTCTTCAGTGTGGTGTCCGGGTATGACGAACTCGCCAGCTCGGTCAGGCATCGAGTAACCGATGGAGAAATAAGGTGAACAGGAAGGCATTCACGAAAACCAGGGCGAACTGCCTGCCGAGTCGCTCTTTCTGTCGAAAAGAGTTCCGATTGTCGGAATCATGACAGAGGTTGAAGTTGTGACGATATCTCATCTTCTTGATGAGTTCGGTTAGAAGAGGGTTTACTTTGCGGTGCTATCGGCAACACTCCGCGGATCCAAGCCTTCCCGAGCCACACGCACTGCCGCTATCTTCAACCACCACACCGACTTGCTTCAGTCTCTTGTTGCAGAAACTTCAATGCTTTCCTGTCTGGCTTCTGCGAATTTGAGAAGTTCCAGATTGGGAATGCAATGGGAAATAAAATTCCTAAGCTGCAAGGCCGTCCAAAAAGGGTTTTGACCTAGCTCATGTGTGCAAATCTGTATCGAGATTGATTCAGATGCAGATAATAAACATGGCCTGTCCACAGCCTGGCACCCACGGCAGGCAGAAGTACCATTAACATGGAACTAGACTGGTGGGGTTGGCATCAACTCTAGGCCCAAAATCTGATTTGTGACACACATAGGAATTGGCCAGTAGCACCACGGTCAGCCAGCCATTCCGAGCCGCAAAGCTCCGTTGAGCTCGCTGTGGTTGTCGTGGTAGAGGTGTCGATGAGGTGTCGTTGGAGGGAGTGGGCAGAGAATGGGCGGGGGCACCCTTGGAAGGTTCGCGCAATTTACAGGGGACTCCTGGCTATCACCCCTGCACTAACGCCGGCTGACGGATCCACTAAACGGAATGATCGCTGCTGCCCCACCAGGTCGATGTCTCTCCCGTGAAAGGGTCATGGATCAAAACTTCGACCGACGTCTTGTACTCTGTATGTATTGCGCCGAGTCTCAGATGTCGAAGTATGTAGCCGATGCCATGGAAGAGCGGCGGCCGGTTCCGCAACACATTGATTGGACAATGTAGTTTTTTTGGACAATTTTCAGAGTCTGTATCCCACATGACCACTTCTGAAACGGGCTACACATTGCCCGTCTTTGGGTGGCTTCCACAGCTATATGCCAGAAGGTGAAATCAAATCTCATCAAGGAGGGATGCGTTGGCATATACCATCATTCTTGACTCCCCGCCAAGGTTCCTTTTAGCGTGGCCGCTCACAGCATTTCACCGCCATGTCTTGGGCAAGGCTCCGCGAACTCGCAAACACTGTCTTTCGGGCACGGAGCAATCGGTTTCCCCTCCCACCTCGTGGCATCTTAGGAAATCGTCCGGGGCCGAGCTTGACGTCTGAATGCTCATCAAAGCTGAGGACACAAAGCCGAGAAGCCCATACCGCCACGAACTGTATATGTATAGTTCGTCGTGTGGATCACTGCGTGTACCCCTGCCAGACCCTACAGGGCGTTTTCTTAGTTTAAGCAAATCTAGACCCGCACAGTCGGGGCTGTCTTTCAGCAACCTCTTACACAAACAACTGCCTGCCATTCTGTCCGTAGAAAGGCAGGGTTTGGAAACTTGACTTGATTTCTTCGGTTTCATCTGCTGCGTTGAGCGCGATATCTAATCGCCTGTCATATGTAGCACCTGGCAAGTCATTCAGGTTGACAACCTGGGACGCCTTGTCACAGCACCTCAGGACTTCACACCCGTCAAGTCCCTACCCAAGTCCTGTTCCTGGTCCCGCAAGCATCCCGGTCACGTTGACTCGCATCGTGCGTTCGCTTTCGCCCAGCCTGCCGGCTGTCTTGTTGATCGTTCCACTCCCCAGCACCTGTGTCCTGGCCATTCCCAACCTGAACTACCTTGGCCCTTCTTGGCCATGCATGCGGCAACTGCACAGTGCGTGGTCAAGTCATGAGTGTGATCAGCTGGTCATGGTCTTCTGCACAACGGCTGGTACCAAAAGAAATAATAGGCCTGTGATAACTAGCTTTCTTACACTTTCTAGGCCCTTGAACTCGGCAAGTCACAGATCATGGTTCGGAATGGTTTCGGCCGAAGAAACAAGCCATTATTAGTTCGCATTCTCAACTCTGCAGAACAAAGATCGTTTACGGTGGAGAGGCAAAAGCTATCGGGCTTCGTCATCTTACCACGGTGAGGATTGCGTTGCCCCTCAATATCGGCAAGAAAATGTACGTACCGGAGCCTGGTCTCAACATCTGCCCCGTACCTACCTCGCCAGCACCCTCTCGCGCTGAGACCCCTTGTGGGAAATCCTCAAGAGTTGACCCAACGTCACATTGAATAAATGGAATGTCACATTCATCAAGTCCAATCACGAGCTCAGAGATATGTACGAACAGCAGGCTTCTAGAAGAAAGGTATGGAATGGGTACACGCACCGGGGCACCACACACCTTCTTGTTGGACAACCCCATCAAATTCTCCTCGCTTTCACCTCTTTGAGAGCTGGCCTGCCAGTTGGCCATACTCGTGGAACACACCACAAGCCGCCCGTGCCATCCGCCATCCACACGCTTCCTCGCTCTCGCTTGTTCGTCACTCACTCCGTCCACGAGCTGCATGTCACAGACTCGCACGTATCGTGTACTACAGACCATCACTTGAAAGTTTCCGAGCGGCCACTGAGGACAGCACCTACCCGGTACAAAGGAAGTTCCCGAGTGGGCAATGATTACAGCCACTTCGGTCCTGACACAAGCGAAGGGCATGAGCCACCTTGGGTGCCACAAACCCCGTAGCTCTCAACAACAGCCAAGCTACCATTGGCTTGTAGAACGGCTGGCAGATACATGTCAACCTACAGCGCTGCAGATCTGAACCGCTGAGAAAAGGGGGCAATTTCTTTTCTCGATGGACCACCACGCTCGTACACGCACTGCAACTCAACGACTTTGTAACCACCTCAGCCTCCTGTTGCACAAGTCCTGTCGGCTTCCCAGAAAAGGCAATCCTCCATGAACATGAATAGCTCTGGCCGTGTGGCTCAAAAAATCTTGAGCATTGTTGAAAGCTCTGATCTGCAGGACGCACCCAATGTAGCAGCCATCTTTTCGTGCAGCTCTGAATGGGCTCTCATTACAGGTTCTTGGCCTCAGCTGTGCTTTGTCAGCTCCAGCCTTCAGAAAAAGAATCTGATCTGTAATGGCTTCAAGGCAGCTGTGAATGGCTTCTCATCGCACACCCTTGGCTGCTTGACCCAAGGTCTTGATGATATGCTGCTTTGTCAGGTCAACGGCAAGCCACCAAAAAAAACTCTGATCTGCAGCAAGACATGTCCCACCGGCACACTGAGGATCCGATGCTGCTGTGTACATACAGCAGTCAAGTTGTCCCTTGAGCAAGAGGCCTCGGATGATATAACAACACACTGCTACTTACTCAATGATGAATGATACAAGCAGAACGGTCCCTCCGGCCCCGGCTAAACAAGACCAACCCGTTTACTCCCACGCCCCCCCCCAGCCGCCTCACAAAGCCTCTTCTACATGAGAGTAGTGAAGGACCTCCAACCCGCACTGCGAGTTCAAAGCTGCATATTATAGGTAATCTTCTTCACTATCCCCGCCCGAGTCTGCAGTCTACTCCGCTACTGTCTCGCGATGCCGGGCCGGGGGAAGAGAGAATACCTACCGACAGCAACGGTGAAAAAAAAATCCGAAAGACTGACACAGCAAACAAGCAAAAACGCTTACTATCTCTTCTTTTGCTTGCCAAACCTCCCTTCCACCCACCACCAAAATCCACCACCACCCCAAACGTTACATCAAGATACGCTCGTTCGGTGCAGAATACGGCAAATCCAGCGATGGATTCTCTTTCGCCTTGAAGTGTGTCCTTGGGCTGGGGCCGGTAGATCTCTCGCTCAACTTCACGAATGGTAATAAGAAGCCTCCGCCCAGGAAAGATGACAAGACGACAGAAGACAAGAAGCCCGCAGGCCAAGAAGTTGCGAATCAGCAAACCTGGTCTTCGACGCTCAGCTTATGATTCCTGGATCAACGACTACTCCTGCACCTCCAGATGCAGTGACCCTCGGAGACCTGATTGGAGGCGCCATGGGCAATGACTCCAAAGACTTGCTGCCACCTTTCGTGAACAACATTCAGTTCAAAAGACCCAAGTCGCAAAATCAGCTATCCGTGATCTTCGAAAAGCTTCTCCCAGAACAAAAGGATGCAGCGGATTCGGCAGCTGGGAAAGACCAGGCCCCCTTGCCCGCACATTTTGTCTTCTCTATGATCCTCAACGTCTTTGGCTTCTGCTTTTCTTACACCCAATGCCAAGAAAGCTCTGTCGCCACCGCTTCATCTTCTGAGAAAGCGAAGCCAGCTCCCAAGCCAACCAAGCGAATCGTGTCAGCTTCCCTCAACGACATCCCAGACATAGATATTCCCCTTATCGGGGCTGTGCCGAAACCAGTCGATCAGATTCTGTATCTCTGGGTTCAAGACACCAGCGAAACAACTGAGCCGAAAGCCACAGATGACAAAAACCAAAAGGCCACGCTCAAGAGCTTGACATATGGAGAGGTTCAAGCCATCAACAAGGTTCGTGGGTCCAAGGCCGCACCCCTCGTTTTCAAGAAAACACAGCAGGGGAAACTGGAGGACAGCACCGTCGTCCTGGCAGCTGGTCACCATTTCGTGATGACAGGCAAGGACGCACTGGACAACACAACCGTCATCCTTGACTATGTCTTTGGCAGCACCTCATCGCCAGCCTCCCCGCAGAAGCCAGTTTCTGGAAAGGACTCGGATACCCCTGTGCCATCAACACCTGCTGCCAACGACGACGCAAAAGCCAAACCTCCTGGCCTGGTCCCTTACAAGAAGTAAGCCGGCCCCCTGTCCATTTCCAACATTGGTTTCGGCTGGAAAGGCACTCTGAAAGATGGCGCTCTGTCCATTGTATTCGACGCTTCCGTCCTCGTCGGACCCATCGGGTTTGCGCTTCTAGGGTTCAAGCTGGAATTCCCCATCACCGAAATGACCAGCCTCCAGAACCTTCCAGCCCCCAAAGTAACCGTCGACGGCCTCGCAGCTTCCTTCAGCAAGCCTCTTTTGACCATCTCCGGTGCTTTCATGCACAAGGTCGTCGAGGGCAACGACATGTACGCGGGAGCTCTCCTCATCGGCTACAATGTCTACCTCTTCCAAGCGGCTGGCTTCTACGGCGAATTGACTGATCCCGCCACCGACAGGAGGTTCAAGTCCGCATTCATGTTCTGTCGAGTCAACGGGCCTCTCATGTCCTTTGGCTAGGCCGAACTGTCAGGCCTGGTGGCAGGACTTGGCTACAACTCCAGTATACGGATGCCCAGCGCTGCCGAGATTCCAACCTTCCCCTTGATCGCGCCCCCGCAATAGTCTGATCCTATGGACAGCCTCAAGGATCTGATGGACCCCAAGAGCGGCGGTGTGATCACGTCCAAGGTGGACTCATTCTGGGTAGCAGCCGGTGTCAAAGTCACCGCCTTCCCGGTGCTCAAGGTGGACGCCGTGCTGGTTCTCTCCTTTGATCCCTCGGTCAAGATTGGTATTTTTGGCTTGGCGGTTGCCGATCTACCTCCTCCACCACCGGGAAGCTCCAGCCCTGGGAAGTTTGTGCATGTTGAACTGGGCTTGTCCGCCACGGTGGATGTTGCCCTGGGGGTCATGAAGATCGAAGGACAACTGATGCCCGCTTCCTATGTCTTGGACCCCAATTGTCACCTCACTGGCGGGTTCGCCGTGTACTCCTGGTTCGACAGTCCTGACCCAGACCTCAGAGGGGACTGGGTCTTCACCATTGGCGGCTACCACCGCTCCTTCAAGCCGCCTGCCCACTACCCCGTGCCCCCACGGCTAGGCATAAGCTGGCCTCTCAGCAGCCGCATCAGCATCACGGGAGAGGCCTACTTCGCCGTCACCCCCAAGATGTGCATGGGAGGCGGCCGTCTTGATGTCACTCTCCGAGCCGGGCCATTGCGGGCCTGGTTCAACGCCTATGCCGACTTCTTGATCAACTACAAGCCCTTCCACTTCACCGCCGAGGGGGGTGTTTCCGTCGGGGTGGAGGGCGTCATCGACTTCTGCTCTGCTTCCATCACCGGTAACGACGTTCGATGTCAACTTTGGAAGCTTGCCTCTGCCTCAGGAGGAAGCATGATCTCATCCTGCGTGAAGACAACGACAGCCAACCAAGGCGTCCTTGTTTTGGAAAGAGCATCTTGATGCTCTGGGGAATCCGTTGACAACTCGCCCTCACTGCCGACCCTCTCCCAGGGCAGCTGGGGATCGTTCAAGACCACATGCGGAAGGGTGGTGTGAGGTGTTTGATGTCCTGGGGCTGGATATGTCGTGTTCAGGGAACCGGGGGGGAGGGAATACTGGAGAGCGATGACTGTGAAGCTCTTGCTGCTCTTTTTCGAATCTAATTTGTCTTGGGCCGGGATGTCTGCAAAGCGTTCGCCTGGAGATGGGCTGTACTTGGCGATATCCTGTTCGACATCAATGTTATAGGTGCCTGCAACAAGCCCGGGACGGTAGAATGAATGCAGCCGCTGGTTGCCCTCGCCGATGTCCGGTTTGGGTTCGAGGTCAACCGGAGTCACTGATTTCTGCGCCTGGGTCCCATTTCGCAGAACGAGGTTTCTTGGTGACGCTGCGGCACCTGACATGGCTGCAAATACGGAGCTTGAGCTGTTTGTTTGTCGATGATAGATTGTGCCAAAGTCTGGATGGAGCAGTAAAAGAACATACCGGCCCGCGGATACCCATGTTAGGTAGGTATCCAACCTTAGTGTTGAGATTGGCCGCTTGGCTAGACGTGGGTGGAGGAGTTGTGAGGGAGTTGTGAATTATGCGTGTTGTCGGACATTGAGTCCAGAACCTCCAGACAACCTCCGGACAAGCTCCAGACAAGCAAGCTGCTGGGAGACCGATTGGAACATCTAACCAGATAGATAAGACAAACACGAAGCCATTGGCTCGTGTTCTCGTCCCCTACCCATGACTTGACCCCCATAAAGGTACCTAACCCGCAAGTGACGAAGATGTCCCCAATGGATCTGGACACTGTGGTGAATTTTCTAGCCTAGAACGGTGGCTATGAAGGAACGGCTGGCTGAAAAGTTCCCCAAAGGCAGAGCTGGATTCCTGGGGCTGACTGTAGAGTGTGCTTTTGTGGACACTAGACCTAATTGCATTCAGTATGGTAGAGTGACCAGTCGCCTCCGAGTCGGACCACACCTAAGAACCGGTTCTAGATTCCGCCATGAGCTCATTGCCGGAGAGATTGTACCGGAAGGGAACAATACTTGTGGCCTCAGCAAGTTCATACCGTCACGGTTAGGTGCAAGCAAAGCCAATAAGGTAGTCGGAATACCGCCCTGGAACCAGCTGTGGGTGGCTGAGGAGGGCTCCAGTGACAATGTGAAGTTCGACAAAGAAGAGCTGGAGGCAGCAAGACAGCTAGTTGTATATAAGAGTTGGACCGCGATCCTTATGGTATGGGAGACGCAGGGCTTCCCAAATCATTTTGCCACACATCATCATCACCATGTCTTGCCCGCTTTCCAGTCTCGTCAACCCCCTCGACAAAGAGCAGGTCCTCCTCTACTATCTGTCCAGCAACCAGACCCCTGCCCTCGAGCTCCACCATGTTGGCGCAGAGAAGACCACGGCCACTGCGTTCGCAGACAACCTCTCGGCCCCTGTCGACTCCAAGATCGTGAACCCGGGTTCCTTCAGCGCTTTATACAACGAGAAATTGGTGAGGGGGATTTCCTCAGAAGCCCCCGCTCATGGCTCTATCCTAACAGAACGTAGCTCAATCTCTACGGTCTCGTCCAGAGCGCACCTCAAAAGGGCACCGCCGCCGTCGATGCCATTGCACCCAAGCGTCTGGCCCAACTGAGCCCTGTCTATAAGCTCCTCCTACCGGATGGCCCGACCAATACCGTGATCGGAGTTGCCATGACCACAATTGTCGCCGAGGGCCAAGGATATATATACTGCATGACGTACGACCACATCCATCCACTCATCCCCTTTCCATGTTTTCGTCCCAAGAATCAAGTCGAGAACTGACAACAACTACTCTCTCTGAACAAAACACAGCGGGACCGAAGAAAAGCCACGCATCACCGAGTTCTCAATCGGTTGGTCGTCCCAGCTCAAGAGGCGAGGACCTCATCACCAAGCCCCTCGACACCAAGCCACCCCTGGTTGCCAGCAACCTCGCAGCCGTCTACGATCCAGCCGCCAAGAAAGAAGCTCATCGTCTACCAAAACGAAGACAACCTCCGCATCGTCGAGTCGACCAGTGAAAATGGTAAAGAAATAAAGAAATAAAAAAACTCCCCGTCTTTTGAACCACCATGCCCGCCTTTCTTTCTTCTATGAGCGAAAAGCTGACGTGTAGCCTCTCTGTAACAAGATACCGTGATTCCGAACACAGACGACTCCCGTGATTGCACCGGCCTTGCTCTGGTTCCCGTAAGCACGGACAAGGGCACCAAGCTGTATCTCTACTACTTCATGCAGAAGGGTGGAAAGCTCCAGCGCGTGGTTCGCAACGAGGACGGAACTTGGGGAGACTCGGCCGCCGCAGGTGATAAGGCGGTTTCGGATCCCAACACTTTCCTGGCTGCCTCCCAGGTTGGCGGCGTGATTATGGTGTACTACATCGCAAAGGGAGAGTCGAGCATCCATAGCTTCAGGGACAAGGTTTAGAATAAGTCCCTACACCAGGGGAGCTTGATGGTATTAGTTGACGACAACGGTAATGAAGACAACAAACACCTTTTGTGCGTTAAAATACATTGACGGTGTACCCCGCCGTCCCGTCTCTTGGCCATCTAAAAGAAAAAAAGAAAAAAAACCCATTCAATAACTCCTATCCCAAGTACTCCCACGAACTTTCTCATGCAGTAGGTGAACCTCTCGCACTGGCGCTATGAGCCCTAAACCTTTCCTTCCTCTCCTGCTCAACCCCCAATTCCGGGTTCTCTAAATCGCCCAACATGGGCGTCTGCATATGACTCGTCTTCCTCCTTAACCCCCCAGCCTTGAGCCGTCTGGCAACCTGGTAAGCCCTATCCAGCTCCTCCTCCACCGCACAGCGAATCTTGAGCGCCGCCACAGCCGGCCAGACACTACGCTCACCCCTCAGGATCCAATACTCCAGCGTTTCCTTGGTGGGGGTTTCCATCAGCCGGACAAAGTCACCAGCCGTCACCTCGGGAACAAGCATCATGCTCGCGCCCGGCACCCGCTCGTCCACAAGGAACCGACGGATACCCGCTGGGAGCAGCTGGAGTGTGTCGAGCTGGCGGAGGCGGTGTCGGAGCTCGAGCCCGACCATGCGCATGATGAAGGCCATGCCAGACATGGTCTTGTTGCGGGTTTCGACCATGGAGGGGCCGTGCATGTCGCTTTGCAGGAAGGGGATGAGGTAGGGGCGGGCTTGGCTGACGATGAAGTGGTTCACGTTGAAGAGCTCGGCGATGCGGAGGAGGGGGGATTCTTGCTCGGTGTAGGAGGCGTTGGTCCAGTGGTTGAAGTCGACTTCGTTGGCGGGCTTCCAGGGGACGATGTTGCCTTGGGAGTCTTTGCAGAGGATCTTGGTTTGACGGTGGCCGTAGAAGGTGGGTGTGGAGGCGTTGGAGGCGACGGCGGCGGTCCAGATTAGCTGTGGATGTTAGCCATGCCCATGACTTTGGGTGAAAAGGGCGGTACATACCACGTTAGGAGCCGTCAAGTAATTCAACAACGTCGGCACACCCCCATGCCCAGCCGTAGCAACCGTGATGTTCAACACCCTCTTGCTCCGATGATACGCCTCCTCAAAGGTCAAATCCCCAATGTTACTCTTGATACACTCCTCCAACACCTTCACATCCAGAAAATAGCCCTCCCTCCTAAACCTCCGCACCCTCCTCACCAGCGTAGCCCACCTCGACCACATCGACTCCCTCAACCCCTTGTTATGCTTGACCGGATCCTGCCCCTGCTTCGCAAACGCGCTCAGGTCAATCCCATCCCCCTTCAGCACCCTCGGCAGCTCCTCCTCGGAATGAACCGCCACCAACGCAGCAATCAACGCCCCCGTCGCCGTGCCCACAATAATCCTCGGCAACAGCCCCCTCAAAAACAAAGCTTTCACCACCCCCAAGTGACACAAACCGAAAATCGCCCCCCCTTGCAAAACCAACGCCGTCCTCCCAAAAGCCTGTCTCGTATCATGTATAAAATCCAGCTTCGCCTGCGTAGACATGGTAGCAACCATCCTCCCCCCCTCAGGCAAATGACTACCGCCCGGGGGGCTAGCAACACTCAGACCCCCCCAGTCCACCTCTGGCGTCCCATTCCCCCCTCCGGCGGCAGTACTCTCCCCCCTTGTCGTCATCACACTAAGCGTCTGCCTCCTCTCCCTACCGCTACTGCTCCCCTCCCCACCGGTGCTACTCTCCCCATTATTATCCTCAAAACTAACATGATGCCCCTGCCTCGCGACACCACCACCCCTTGGAACCCCCCTACCACCATCAACAACATACCCCACCGCCGACGTCTCCCCTGGCGAAGGCAAGCTCCCAATATCCTCTACCCCCTCCGCCACAGCCCTAACATACTCCTCAATCAAAAACTTTGTCCCCGCAAACGCCCGGTTGTACAGCTTCGTGGCGGTGATATTCCCCAAGTTCCTCACCAAGCCACTCCTCAGCAGGTTAACCAGCGAGTGCACGTCCCCCGTCTCCCTCGCAATCTCAATACTCACCAGCCGCTCGTTGATCAGCTTGAAGTCGTAGTGTGAAGAGACAGGGTTGTTCCTCCAGAGGTCCAGCCCGAGCAACGTATCCAGATTGAGCGCCGCCTCCTCCCACTGTTCAAACGTTCTGGCGGAGTGGAGGGTGGAGAGGTAGAGGGTCAGGGGGGTGGGGTTGGTGTAGTGGGTTATGATTTTCTATACATCATCAACAGTTGGTTAGATCTGAAAATAATAGATAGGGTGAGGGTTGGGGGAGACATACCTGCCGCCAAAAAGAGAGCACGTCAAGCAGCATGTCCCATGCCGACAACAAAAACAGCTTTGGCCCCCTTCCGTGGTGTTGATGATCATGACGGGTGTTGTTGGGACGTTTACCACCACCAGCCGTGCCTGTTGGCTGCTGCTGCTGCTGCTGCTGCTCAACCTCTTCAAACCGTATCCTCGCATCCGGACCAGAATCGGCACTCCCAGTCCCAAACAGAGGCGACAACAAAATGGTGTACACCGCCCCCAACAAACCGACGAACCACTGAAACGCCATTTCCCTTCTTTTTCTTGCGAAGTCTCCCAAATCCCAACAACCCTTTCCTACGCCATACACGGAGTAATTAATCAGTCTTTTGTGGCACGCGCGCGTTCAAGTTACCATGGGGGAAAAAACACCAATCCAACAAAATAACAAACAAAAAAACAAAAAAAAAAAAGAAGGAAAAAAAGGGCGAGGGAGGAGCGTTAACCTGTCAAGAAATAAAAACCAAGTTCCCAAAACCGAAACCACGCCGGAAAACCTAGCTCGTGACGGTCACCCAACTCGGCCGCCCTGAGGCGAACAGGAACAAATATCCCCACAATCACATTTTCCCATCCCTTGTCAGACAACGTTGAATCAAGCATGTGAAAGCCACAAACCCCACTTTTCCGCACAAGTGCTTGCAGTTGTCGCTTATCCCCGCTTCCCCAAATTCCCGATTCCCGATTCCCGATTGGTCTTGTACAAGGGTCACCCCATCACCAGTTCTCGGTTCCTGCAGCCGAAGGAATCTCCATCTCAAATCATGATCTAAAAACATGAAGATGTTGTCATGGTGTAACTATCAGTTGATTAATCTTTGTCTTGATTGGTTCGGGCCCTAAATAACCTATATTTTATTGTAATCGCCCCATGTATGACAGCCCATTATTCGCACAATACCTCAACATGCCACCGTTCCCATGCCCACATATAACGACAACGTTTTGTTTTCTGTCCCCATCATCGCCAGAACACCAACGACAAAAACCACCTGTATAAACCCCCCTCTAAACACGCAACCGCCCCATTCCTCTAATCGAATCACAAAACACCAGGCTAATGCTGACCATGCCACACCCCCCCCCCCCCCTAATCACTATCTGGCGGCGTCCCCCCCTTCTTCATCATCTCCTTCACCTCTGCCTCCATCTGTCCAGAAGTCATCTCCAATCCAGCCGCCGCATCCAGTCCAGCGCTCCAGCCCGTCACCTTATTCGCGAGCTCCAGCTTCTTCTGGCACGCCTTGTAAACCAGCTCCTCCACCGTCCCCTCGCTAATCAACCTGACAATCTCAACCGGCCTCGTCTGACCCAAACGATGCGCCCGATTCTCCGCCTGAATATCGTCTTGCGGATTGTCGCTCTGATCAAAAATGATGACCTTGTTGGCCGCCGTCAGGTTGATACCGGTACCTCCCGATCCCGTCGTTAGCAGGAACACCGGGATCGTCGGGTCGGCGTTGAACTGGTTGATCAGTTCCTGTCGCTCGCTGACATCAGTGTTTCCTTGAAGACTGAGGTACTCCACCCCTTCACTAGCCAGGCATTCTCCCAGAATCTCAATAACCTTGGCAAACCTCGTGAAAACCAAGGCCCGGTCTCCGTTCTTCTGATACCCCCTAATCAACTTCAACAAGCTCTTCACCTTGGCACACTCTCCCCAGGACCCATCTGGCAAGTCAAACGACCTGATGCACTTGTAATCTCTGCACCACAAATGAAGCTCAAAATCCGACAGCGCCTTGAGTTCATTCGTCAGGTGCCCGAGATTAGGCTGCTTGAGCTCCGACTGTGGTATCCTCTTCATCAGCACCTTGGCCATTTCCTCCACATCCTTGTCCTTGAAGTAGCGTCTGAACAGCTGCGGATGAATGGCCGACTTTCTCAACTGGATCCAAACGTTGTTGGTATCATTGTCCCTGCCCTTTTCCGCAACGACGGTCTGAGAAGATTGAGATGTTGCCGACTTCCTAAATCTTCTCGCATAGTCCTCATAGATACTGGCCTGTGTCTTGTCCATCTTGCAATACTCGACCCTTGTCGTCTTCTGGGGCATGTCTTGGAGCACCTGCTCCTTTCGGCGTTGGAGGATAAATGGCTCGAGAATGGTCCTGGCACGGGGCACCCGCTCGCTGGCCAAGATTGCGCCCTTGGAGACGTCCGCCAGAGAGAACTTTTGGCTGAACAACGCCTCCAGCGTTTCAAAGTGCTCTGAAAACAGCTTAGGTTCCACAAAGCGCAGGAGGGCAATCATTTCCATGAGGTTGTTTTGAACAGGCGTGCCCGACAGAATCAACCGCCAGTCGGCCGTGATGCGTAGCAGATCCCTGTAGAGCTTCGTCTTGGGATTCTTCATCTTGTGACCTTCGTCAAAGACGGCAATCTTTGGCTGGATGCGTCGAAGATTGGAAATGTCGTCTGGCCGCGAGAGCTGCGAGTAGCTCGTTAGAACAACGTGATAGGCTTCCGGATCATCTTGGATCTCCTCCGCAATGTCATCACGGGTGGCTTGGGGGCCTTGGTATGTGATGACATTGATGTCCGGGGCGAATCTTTTGAACTCTGCAGCCCAGTTGGCCAAAGTCGAGGGCGGCACGAAGATGAGGTTGGGCCATGGCCGGTCGCCTTTCATTTTCCCCTTCTCGTAGTCCTCGACAACGGAGCACATGAGTGAGATGACTTGGCATGTCTTTCCCAAGCCCATGTCGTCTGCCAAAATTCCACCGCAGTCCAATTTGTGCAACAGACGCATCCAGTTTAGCCCATACCGTTGGAAGGGCTTCATGGTACAATGACCTTCCATATACTTGGGCTGGCGGTGGGGCAGGTCGACCAATTTTGGGTCTTCCATGCTGATGGGTGTCAAGGGCTTTCCATCATCCGCCTGAGAATCGTTTTTCATCTGGCCCGTTTCATCCATCGTCCACTTACTAGTCGATGCTTTAATTGCACGGGCCTGTTTCTCACAGGCCTGGATAACATAGTCAATCGCATCCAACGACTTGGCGTAAGACTTGACCGCTGACACAATGTCATCTCCCACAGAGAGTTTGGCAGATTTCTTGCCCTTTTTCTTGTGAGCAAGGGTGACTCGGCGAGCATGCTCCAGATCCTTGAATGGTTGGTGGGAAACCATGACTTTCGCAGTGTCTTCTTTGACGCCAGCGATGGCGACCAGTTGCACTACGTCGCAAGTGTTGAGATACTGGAGGACTCGGGCATCAAACTCGCTTGAAGCCTCCTCATCTTCGTCGTCCTCGGCATCTTGCGGGGAAGATCGACGCGCCTTGGCCTTTTTACTATCAAAGTCCTCGTCTCGATCGTCATCGTCGCTAACAAGATCAATGACCTTAGCTTGTTTTCTTGGCTTCTCGACCGGCTTGACGGGAGAACTTTCGGGACTTGCTTGCCGGCCAGGGCGGCGACCTTGCACGAGCCTCCGTCGTGCAGGCTGTTTAGGTGGGGACGGTTTCCGGAGCGACTCGAGACTCTCATCAGAGGAGGGAGACGAAGGAGACAGCGAAGCCCAGTCTTTTTGTAGGCCGTGGCGGTTTGATGTGCTGCCATTTGATTCCTGTGTATTTTGTTTCTGTCCCGCACACCGTATTAGTAACTTGACTTGTAGACCGAAAAGTTAAACATACCGACTTGGCAGCCACCTGCGCCTTCAAGGCTAGTGAAGTGGATGACGTCGATACACTGATACTCGGCTCCTTTCGCTGGAAAGACGAAGGTCGAATGTCTCCCCGTGTTCGCTCGGCATCCTCGTCGGAAGAATCTCCTCCGACATAGATCGGCGCATCCAACTCGCCGTCTGATATCTGTACAAAATCTCGCTTCTTCGAAGCAGTAGACACAGTTCGACTCGCTGGGGGTTTGAAGCTGGTGCCCGGTGGAGCCATCGCGCTTGCCAATCGACCGCCAATTCGCGGGGCAACTGGTTGTGGTCGAAATGGGGAAGAGGCAGGAACCTCAATGATTGATCGGGGCGAGGAAGGTACGACAGACATGGGGCGTATGGAAGGTTTGTCCATGATCTGTGTCGGTTGTGTAAAATAGGGCGACTCGCTCACAATGTCGTCGTCTTCGATGTCGTCGAATGCCAAACCTCTGCGTCGGGTGGTGGTTGGCGGTGAAGATGAAAACTCCATTTTTTGTTGTTTCTCGACTGGTTGGGTTTCGACTGAGGGTGGTAAAGGTGGAGTAAACTTCAGAGCAATCGTTATCTTTCACAAAAAAAAAAATAAAGAAGACAACGGAGCAACGTGTAGAGTGCTCCGAAGTCAAAGACGCCGAAAGAGAAAGTCGGACGAAAAGTCGGGGTCCTTGATGATGTCCCACCCCTGAATTGGGAAATTTCAGATCATTCGTAGTAGCGACTGTTGGGATTTCTGCCGTTAGACCGATACCGCCCCGTTATCAATGTCAATGAAAAGTCAACAAGTAAAAGAGACTTTGCTAAAATTAGACGCCGAACAATTGGCACAATGTCTCCTTCTTTTGCCTCCTCTTTGGGTGTGGTAGCCGGTCGATTGGGCAGTACTCGAGTCGAAACCAGAATTTGAACAAAAGAGAGGGAGAGAAAGGCAAGAAGAAACAGCCCTATCTTTCCCAGAATTCAACCATCAAAAACCCGGCCCCACAGGCCTCTGCCAGCAAAAGCAAACGAGAGCGCGTCAATCGGGAATTTCAGTGGGCCGGACGCGCCTGTACTTGCTGCACGTCGACACGTGAGCTGCGAGCGACGTTCCCATGCCAATTAAGCACGGACTCACCTACCCAATACGTACCTCTCTCACACTCACAACCAACATCATCAAGCGAGCCTCACCATTGACCATACCATATCATCACATACTACAATCCAAATCTCAAAGATCGCCCAAAATGGCCACCCGCCGTATCATCTCCCAAGAAAAAACCCTCCTCGACCAGCCCGACCCAAACTCCCTCTCATCCTCCTCCCCAGCTCAAAAGTCCAACATCACCCCCGCCGTCCCCTCAGCCGTCATCTTCAAGCTCCTCGCCTTCACACTCGCCATGATGGTCGTACCTATCGGGTCTTACTTTGCCACCGTCAACACTCTGTTCAAAGGTAACTAACACGGCTTATAAATCTTCTGTTCAGCCTTGCTCTGTCACTCACTCACTCACTTACACCACCCTCTGTGTGCCCTCTCCCATGCCTCCCATATCTTACGGCTCATATCCCCTTTCGTATCCCCTCATAACTTCCTTGTTCATACCCATTCTCACAACGCTCTTTCGTATTCTCTCCCATGACACATTCATTAAACATACGGCTAATTCCCCCCAGGCAACTCAACCTACGCCGGCGGCCTCGCAGCCATTATGGCAAACGTAGTCCTCATAGGCTACGTCCTCGTAGCCATGGCAGAGGACCAGTCCGACCGTCTAGAAGAGGAGAAGAAGCAAAAGCAAGAGGGGAAGAAGGATCGTTGACCACTGTCTTTTTCATTTCTTCTCGTCTCAACTAAAAATTATCTTGTCCATATTTTACCCCCATACACACAGATGGGACACGGTTCCTGCTACTTACTACCTACGATATGGTCTTTAAGAGGGGATTGAGTGGCAAAGTTATGGAATGGATGTGGCTATTGAGTACCAGTATTGAGGCAGAGAGGACTAGATAGCCCGTGTGACATTAATGCATCAATCATGGGATCAAATGTCCAAACTGTAAACTATATTTGTCTCTAGTTTCAATCACATGACACAACAAATTGATACCAACTTCGACAGAAAGTGATCTCTGCCGAGAGTCTTACCACCTCAATTCACCATTACTACTGGATCATAATAGTCCCCCTCCCCCTTTCCTTGCGCTTTCCAGCATATATATCCAACCATATCTCATCTCTCAACCCCCCAAATCACACCCACACACACACACAAGAAAACACCAGCAAGAACACACCAAAATGTTAGAAACCAAAAAAAGAATCCCTCTCATTATTTTTCTTTCTTTCATGTACCAAATCAGAACAAAGGACTCGACAGAAAAAAGCCCTTGTACAGCAGCAGTAGTAATTCCCATTTCCTAACGTGCTTCCCTTGCACTTTCCCTTCACTTTCCCGTCCCAACCGTGTGTGTGCGTATACGTGTACTTCAACACAAACCAACCCATTCATCATCAAAATCACAATCCCGTCCTAGAAAACCACCTCCAGTCGAGTATTTCGCTGAGAGAAACGACAAGACGCCAAACCATCCGCAACTAGTCGAAAATCCTACATCTTCTAAATGTCCAATCTCCTTATTCTTCTCCTCTCTGCCAATATGCCTGTCCACAACAGCCTGACAAAACACAACGCCCCCATGCAACAAAAACATCTGAACGGTAGCAAACCCCCACCAAAGCCCCACATCCATACCAGACGTTTTTTTAAAAGGCGAGAGTGAGAAGAACCATCGGGTATCAAAAAAGTCGACATTATCGGCGGCGGCAACTTAAACAAACTGTCGAAATATCATCGGAAAAAGCAATCTTCAAAAATGTCGACCCCTCTTAGTTGTTCTTGCTAAACCTCCTCGAAAACCAACTCTTCCTCTTCTCCGGTGGCGAGGGTCTATCCTGCACTTGAGGTGGCGACGCAGTCGTGGTTTTCCTCAACGTCGAACCCTTCTGGGGAACCGCTGGAGGGGGTGCCTGTTGCTGAAAGTTGGGCAAATCTCCCGAGCTTGAACTGCTGCTTTGAGCTCCCACTGCAAACGATGGTGGCGGATACACCGAGTTGTTGCTGAACCCAATGCCGTAGTCGTTCATCTGCTGTTGTTGCGGTGCTGGTTTCCTCTTCGGCGCCGACTGAACCCGCTCGATGGAGCTATTATCGCTGCTTGTTGGGTCCGTCTGATACCCGGCTGGCTCTCCTGACGTACCACTCCCTGACGCCGTTGTGACTGTCTCATAGGACCGATGGTTGCTGGGGAGCACGTATTCGTTGGGACCCGGCCTGTTACCGTGCGGGTCGGACTGCATTCGGTTCCACCTTTGCCGTCCAGCTGCCGGGTGACCGTTGTACCCTTGGTCGTAGTGATGTTGTCTGAGGTCCTGTTGGCTCCCACCGACACGATCATGGTACATCATGGATGGCGGCCGGCTGCCGTAGTAGCTGTCGTGCGAGAATCTACCACCATTGCCATCTGAGAGTCCACATGTTAGCCTCATGCAAATCAATCCTACACGGCATTGCATTACTTACTGCCATAATAGCTAGCTCGTCGGTTGGCTCTGGCATCCGGGTCTGCATTGCATGCGTTAGTCAGTATCCCGCCACTCGAGATGTCCAAGGGTGCAGGGTGCATACCGGGCCGGATCATGGACCTCCTGTTGCTATATCCGCCATCAATTGCTGCCTCGAAACTCCGAATCGTATCTAATGGTCGTTCCCAGCGGCTTCTGGTGGGATTAGAGCGGTCAGGTTCGGCTGCGCCAGAAATTATGGTTAGTACTTTGTGTCACAATTCCCCAGGTTTGCGCCTCATACCGATTGGGTTGCCATAGAGATCCTTGTGTTGAATGCTCCTCAAAGGCGCGAGCGACGATGCTTCGTTTGCGGCAACCTGTGCTACACGAGTTTGTCAGTTTAAAAATTCCTCATCTCAAGGGGAGACACCAAAACATACCAGGTTCCGCCTCTTGCATTGCGAGGGTGGGATCGGCTTTGCTGTGAAGTCTTTTGGCTTCCTTCTCGGCTGAGGTCTCGTGCAAGTCGACCTTGTCGGCTTTCTGATTGCTGCTAGAACCCTGGGATTTGTCCGACCTGAGACTGAAGCTTCTAGATTTCCTGGTTGGGTTCGCAGGGCGCTGCTGAGTCGAATGAAGCTGATGTTGTTGTTGGGAAGGATGCTGCTGGGGCTGCTGGTAAGACTGCTGATATGACTGCTGGTACTGCGGATGCTGTTGCTGCTGCTGTTGCGGCGGGGCCTGAGGGTACTGATAAGCAGGCGCAGGGGGGAGGTTCCTGTTCTGGGATGTTGCGGTCGCCATCTTGTCGGGCGCTGCCGGGGGTGCGATAACTTTATTACTTCGCTGTGGTACGTGCTGATGAGGAAAGAAGATGGGAAATGAGAAGGATCTGCAGCGGGCCCGCAAGGTGACAGGGTCGTGATCGCAGTTCGCAAGGTCAAGGACGACAAAAAGATGCTGGGGGCAGGCGTAGCTCTGGTGATGTTGATGGATCCTGTCGCGCCGAAGTGGGCGGTGGGACTGGGGTGCCTGATTGTGCAGGAGCTTTTCCGAGAGACGGACCCACGAAAAACCTGTCGCAGGTTCCTGCTGAAATCAAGGAACCGTGTTGTGCGTGGGATGCTGGTGTCCAAACAAATCCAACCTCACGGAGCAAACAGCCAGGCGGTCTGACAAGGAATAGTAGAGAAATGCGTGGGCAGCGTAGCGTAGCGTTGCGGGCGGTAAAGTAATGGAAGTAAGTGGTAGTGTACGGAGTAGTGATAAGGCTGGATATCCGGGCGCAAGGGCAAACAACTATTGGAACTTCTGACGACCCTGCCACCCTTTTTATGAATCGACTCCAAAGATAACAACTCGACTCCCGCCTGCCAATTGTCGGCGACCTCTTGCAGCAAATGGGAAAAATCGATCGGGCTGTGTTGCTGGCCTTGGTCCCAGAAAGAGCTCTCTTGGTGGAGTAAATGGCGCTAGGTGCCGAGAGGTGACAGCGGAGCGGATGGCGTTTTGACACTGGGCTCCACTGACTGACGTCAATCCAAAAGAGACTGGGCTGGGATGGCGCTTGATCTTCGCGTGGCTCTGGCTCGGTCTTCTCAGAAAAAAAAAAGCAACAGGGGGCCGCTTCGCGATTGTTCCACGTGCGTTGTGGCTTCTCTTCTTTTATGTATATCTTTTTTTTTGACAAGTCTTTCCGACGCGTGAGAGTGGGTGGGTGACAAATGGACGACTGCTGAAATACGAGCCTTGGAGAATGCACTAGACACTTTCAGTGCCAGTTTTCGACTTGCATGCGTCGAACAGTACAGCAACAAGAATCGGCGCTAAACCGATGCAGGAGTCGTTGACGCGCAAAATGTACCGATTCAGGTGCCAGGTGGCTCGTGCCAAGCCTGTTCTTGCTGGGCCGTCCTAGGGTTTGTGAACTTAGACGGGGCAAAAGAGCAATTGAGGAGGCTGAACTCGTTTTGCTGAGATATCGATACGGACTATCGGACAGATATCGGACAACGAGAGAGAGACGGAGAAGTCGAACGGTTCAATGCTCAATGCTAAAAGACGGGAGGCACAAACGAGTGTTTGGATGAAACGGCCTGGTTTGAAAGTAAATACGGAGTCCACGGTATAAAGAATCTGGATTGGTTGCCCAAAGGTTTCCAAAAAATGTGAAAGGAGGGATGAAAATCGCGTGGCGGGAAGGGCCATATCTTTAAGAATGGATTCGCTGGATTCCGAATGCAGTTCGACCCTAGAAGCACCTGAGGATGGCCGCGTGGAAGGGCGGGCAATGGTGTTTCTCTCGGGTCTCTTCCAGCTTATGATTTGCCGCTTGCGGTTGCTGTCTGCATTCTGCAAGCTCACCATTTCAACCCCGTTTTTCACCGTCGCAATCCACTGAACACCAGGAGACTCGTGTGTCACCCGGATGATCCGCTCCCAAACCCCGCGCGTCGTGCTGTCACAGATCATCTCCAACTCAATTGCAACAGCTCAATCGCCGGCCATCGCTGACAATCTCCAGACTGGCAACGACTGGCCGCTATTCACCCCATCCCGTTCCAGGCGCCATGGGGGAAAGAATACGGACTCGCTGCGCCTCAGACAACTACGCGGCCAGCCAGAGAGGAACACACGGCGCCCGTGTTACCGAGCGACAGCGTGGGATGTGCCCCTTTTTTTCCTTGAATGGATATCCGATACCTATGCTACAATACGATTGCCATCCCACCGAGCCCACTCATGCGGCTCAGATGCAGAATTCGACATGTGAGAAATGCCAGCGTTATATACAGCCCTTGGCATTGTATCAATGTGCAAATCCTGAGCTGGTGATCATCCCTCGGAAGTTTCAACTTTTGGGAGAGCCAGCTGCAAGTTGGGCATTTTGGACGGTTGTGGACGGTGGACGGGAGCTATCTTAGGGTACCCTGCGTCCCACAGAAATTTAGAATCCGTCCGACACGGTACGGACCAGAACTGCACGACAGGTTCAAGCTGCAGGTCCTCGACGAGGTAGCCACCGCTGTGGTGTCAGCACAACTAGCTCCCTCTTGTTTCCTGCGGCGCGAAAAGGGGGATGCTGCCAGCCTAGAGCGTGCGCCCGGACGAGCATCCCGAGTCGAGAGTTTTCTCCTGGATGTTGGATGGAGCGCTGACAGGATTATGACGATGACGTTCGATCTTCAATATGAGGGGTAAACGACTGATTCATGGCCAGCCAAGATATATATTCCAACGTCCACGCCACAACTGCTGTGTTGGCACACTCGAATCCCGATCTAAGTTGGTACGCATTTCTGGAAAAGGATTGGGCTTATCCCTTTTCAACTTCGGCACCATACCAAACTACCCGACTCGTGGATACAAGAGCCATCTTTCAACGGCGGGGGGGCGGGAGAGGGTAGCATTGCAGCTTCAGGTTTTCTGGTTGTGAAGCCACCCTCCCTCCCTACTCATTGCCTTATCGCTGCATAAAGGTAGGTAGTACACGCTTTACACGTAACCAAGGTTTCAAAAACAACAACAACAGAGTCAACAACGGTGGGCCAGAATAACCATAAAGTCCGGCACGGAGCCGGACATCAAGTCACAACAAAACACCGCCCGCATATATCACCACCTTTTGCCTCTTTCCAACCTTTCAAATTTCCGGTGTACCCATTTAGTTTCTTGGTACGTAAAGAAAAGGGGTAAAATAGCAATATGCTTCCTTGACTTGAGCCTTTTTCCCAGAAAGCAGGTTTTTCCTAGTTTTTTTGAGACAAGTTATCATACACGTCGTTTCCCAGAGTCGATCGAACCAACCAGGCCCTGAGAGGATGGAAGCACAAGAAGCAGGCTTCACAGGGCGATGATCTTGCTTCTAGCTCCTGTCAATCTGTCAACCATGACCCCACTCTTCCCCAGTCGGATCAACACGAGAACGTGGTTGTCTTCGATCGAATGGGGACGACTGCGTATCCAGTGGTTTGGCAACGTGGGAACCCCAGGCCCGGGAACTAGCGGGATGGCCTGGGTGGGCTTGATGCAGGGAGCTTAACCGCAAGGCCGGCACGTTGGATATTGTTCCAGCCCGCCGGTGTTTTTTCAAGTCAAGTTTTACTCTCCAGCATGGGCATAAGGCTTCAGCGAAACCCTCCAGCAAAAAGAGCTGGAGAAACTGAAGATATACAGTCAGCTACTTGGACTTTTACATCTCTCACTGTGGCGTCGTGGCGCCGTATTATGTGCTCCTGGCTGCATCCCCGGCCGCACACCATGCCACCATCACCCTTCACCTCGGCCCGGCCATCTCATAAATCGTTCGAGAAGACCAAAATGTCGTTATCGTAAACCGAGACACCTCTGCTTTCGTCTTTCGTCAAACCCCCTCTCAGTGTCTAACCCTAGTCTCAGACGCATCATCTCAAGCAAGCCACACCCATGATGAACCCCAGGTCCGTGACCGTGACCAGGGCCGTGAACCCCGGCCGACTGTTGAGAAACCTATCTGCCGAAGCTAGCCAGCCTGATTGTCGATCCCATCCCAGCTGTTCGGGAACTGATCCAAAACAAATGAGGCGCCCGTGGCGCTGCTCATATCAAGCAACACAAAGGGTCTGTCGTCTTCCATCTCAGCTTCCATGGGTGGGCTGAGAAAGGCCGATGTCGTCTTGCTTTGAGACGAGACCACCTGTCGCATGTTCCAAAGTGACACTTTTGGACTTTTTGACTCTCGACGACACAGAGACATAGACAAAAGGGGAGGGGGAGGGGGTAAATGACACAAGATCTGAATCTCCATTTCGACCGAGAACCAGCATCAGACCAAATGACAAAAAACACCAACCTAAACGCAAACAAACAAACAAACAGAGATGCTGAAAGAAAGGTGAGATCGGGGAATAAAAAACCTTTGCCTCTCAGCCCACCCACCTGCTGTACCTGTGTTTCGTTTCCTCAAGTCCACCCTGATATTAGGCGCTGTAACCACTTCACGTTGAGATGAACTGTGTAGCACAGAGATAGGTAGGTACATTCCAGCACGAACGAAAAAAGCGATATGATTGATCAACTTTGACTGACCCTTCACATCTTGTTTTCTTTGCCACCTCTTTTCTCGCTGAAGAATCACAGGACAGCACTGCCGCAATTCACTGCCCACCAGCCTGCCCCAGACAGCATGCACAATATTCCGCATAAACACCTAGGTAGGTAGGAACTCGACCACCTCAACAAATAACAAACCATCAGAGCCTCATTCCACCGCAACACAAACACCCCACCTAACCCTCCCCTCCCATCCCCTCCCACAACAAAACCACCCGTTGCACCACGCCTCCACCGCCTTGCCCCGCCCTTGTACCTCAACCCAATCTCACAGGAAGAACGGACGTAAAAACGGCCTGTGGCATTTCAAAACATATCCCCCTCGCCAGCTAACAAGAGTTAGTATTGAAGCGGACAGAGAGAAGAGAGTTGATATTGCAAGATCATGTATGGATGAATCTATATATATATATATATATATATATATATATGACAGGACTGTCAGTATACATCAATCATCAAGTCAGCCTAGGTACCTACCTAAATGAAATGATATTGCCCCCCTGTAAACAAGAAAACGAAGAAGCCAAGAAGACCTTCCTCACTCCACCAACACTGGCGGTGGTGGGAGAAACAAAAGAGTCTGCAACATGTGAGCAACAAGCCTCAAAGACCAGCAACCCGCCTGCGAGTTTCGTTGTGGTCAGGTGAGATGGGGGAGACCTAGGCAAGGATATAAGATCGATTGCAAAATTCCGCCGGGAATGGTATATGGGGGTTGTGAGGTTGTGGATGCGGAATTTGTAAGATATGGGCTGTTGAGATATAGGATTTGAGATACGGTAGTTGAGATATGGGTTGTTGGTAGTAGGCTGACGGCTGGCAATTTTGTTACTAATCATGGACGTTTATGGAAGCTGGTCTAATCAACAACTTGGATGATGATGGGTAGGGCGACGACCATACTGCACACAGGTGAAACCTGGATGGGTTCTGCCCCTTGGATGAGTCCTGCCCCTTGGATGAGTTCTGCCCCTTGGATAAGCTCTGTCCCTTGGATAAGCTCTGTCCAACACTGGTTAGCAACACGCCACAACACACAAGAATCAAGAATCCATATTGAGAACGAATTGAGAAAATGGAAGACTGAGTGGTTCTGATAACTGCTGTCTGACCCAAGGCCCTTCTCAAAAAAATAAAAACACAACCTCGTGGCCAGATCCCAGGCAAGAATAGCCCCCCCCATTCCCAGCTCACAACCAACCGAGCATCCAAGCCACAATTGTCGTCGTCTGGAAAGACCTGTTGATTCTTCTCAGCCCCAGGCTGGCCATTAATGTTGTATTTTTGACAAGGCAAGACTCTTGTCAAGTGCCGCCCCTGAACTGCCGATTTTGTGTCCCATCCCGCAACGCACCCAAAGCACTGAAATCCCTTTGCACCCCAGATGTTGCGGATCCTCAAATGGCATTTTGTCATTTTTTGCGATTGCCCTGATTTTTAATGCTAGAAAGCAGGGCCGTCCGTTGTTGATTTCGTCAAGTCCCTGTCTAATTCCATATGCACCGAAATCATGAACCACCCGTTACCGACCAACTCCTGCCCAGCCCATTCTCCCCCATCTTTATTTAGATGGTGGAGGGGTAGAGCATGATGCGAACCGAGGCGCCGAAAGACTTAGCGGGGAGAGGGGTCTGGAACTTGGCGCGGACGACGCCGGAGTTGCCTGTATCAAGAGTGTCAGCACAAAGAGACACTTTCCAAGAAAAAGCCGCTGCGGAGAGAGCTCCCGATATATCGTACCATGTGGTCTGGTGACCTTGCCCCAGATAACGCGGATCTTGGTGCCGCGAACCTCCTTCTGACCACGGTAGACGTACGCAACCTTCTTGCCAAGGTAGAAGCTGTGCCCATTGTTAACTCCTGTCCTTCTGTAGTCCCCAAAGTCGATTCGCAACCTACTTGGCAGCGTTTGTGTCGTCAACGCCCTCAATCTTGATGAGAGAGGTCTTGGAGTGGACGGCGTGCCTGGAGCGTTGGTAGCTCAGGTGGCGACCCCTATGGAAGGAATCTGGTCAGTCTCGCGCTTCTTATCGAGTCGAATCCGGCATTTCGAAATTCTGAATCGCAATGTTGCGTCGTGGTGTTCGGTTCGATTCGCAGCGGGTCGAACTGCCGGTGGGGTTTCACTCACTTGACATATACTAGATCAGACATGTTAGCCCATGGTCTTTCACTCGATTGGCAATCCAGCAGCGACCATCGCCAACTTTGTCGTGACGGCGGCCATGAAGGTGCCCAGATTTCGCGTTGACGACGTCGCTGCTGTTGTTGCTGCGGATACTCGGGCAGACTCACGTCTATGACCAGCTTCGGTAGGCATTTTGATGGCTTGGTGATTTCCCTCTGAGATTCTTCCTTGCCACGGTCAAGGGCAATCAGCAAAATGTCGTGCTGATTAGAGGTCCGGCGTTTGGCGACGTGAATGTGGCTCTGCACTTACCTTCGGCACGCCAAATGAATTCGAAAATTCGCATGGTGGGATTTGGTAGGGCTTGGGCCAGTTTAGCGGGGCGGATTATCTGTGGCGCCGAGTTCGGCAGGCAGGAGCGACCTTTGCAGTTCTGCGGGGCACTCCCGCCTGGCCCCTGCACTCAGCGAGGTGTGGCTGGTGGGTCCTCAGCCACGAGTGATGCAATCGCAAAAATTGTCAGTGCTGTCTCCCCCTGATCCTTGTCCAGTTGGCTCGATGCCAAGAGAAAATCTGCGATGAGCACAACGGCTGTGGACTTCCTGCAACCGACGACCGACGACCGAGGAGGACCTGAAGTGATGATTCATCAGATAACAGCACCGGACCTCTGACAATCCTCATGCCGCTGCTAGCCCCCGTACGTCACCCTCTTGAGCTTCTCGGTTCAGCGCGGCTTCAGCTTTGTAAGCTCGAATCAGACAATTTGGTCGACCCCAGTCGCCTGTTAGAGCCATTATCTCCCTCTCATGGGCATGGTTTGTATCCAACCTTCAGAACAACCAACCAGCTGTGAACAGCATTCAACATACCCCCCACTCCGAACACGACCTCTCTGCCGGCCATCTGGCTCGAAACATGTCAAGAGATGTCCGGGAATTCAAGCTGAAAATCAGAGCCGCGTTCTCAAGATCTGATAAGCATTTCTGAGGGAAATAAGCGGTTGCAGGGCGGGCGGGTAATATAAGCCGTACAGGGAAGATGCTCAAGACTCTTTTTAGGAAGCACTCCACCAGCATCACGACATGCGAAGCCGGCCCGGAAGTCGGAGGTATGCTTGGCCATTCTTTTCGATATTCTGAAGTGGCTAAAACATCCAAATTGTCAGTCTTGGCCCGCCCGACCAAGGGTTGGTTGCAGATGTGGGATGTCCGAACTCCTGAGACCACCACGGACTCTGAGCGTCGGCTCCGGAGACCCTCAACCCCGCGGAGAAGTGCGTCAGTTGTGTCCAGAGACTTTGGATAATTCTCTGGCCCGCGGACTTGACAAGAGAGGATATACTTGTCACAAGATGTGAAGAAGCTTCTTCCGGGTGGGAACTTTTTATTATGGAATCGATTTTCTCTTTGGTCTCTCGGTGCTTGCTCACCGGAGCTAGCAAGTGTCAGCGTGGGGGGAGTCAAACTTGACGCATTCTGCCGGCGAGCGAACCCTTGACCAACAAAACTATTCCGGGACCTCCGCACCACAACGTGCCATTTTTGCCTGTTTTATTTGACTGGTAGCTCGGCCTTTGGCGAGGCCAGCGTCCTCCACTGTGACTGCGTTATTTCCTTCGCCTACAGAAGTGGGTAGCGGACAACATGTAGGCGGCGTGGAGGCGGAGGAGGGTGACGAGGGGGAGGGTTGAGGGAGGCCCCCCCCTTTGATGTGGCCAGAGCTCAAATCGAGCCAGGGGGGAGCTCGACAAGATTCGGATACCCCACCTAGCTCAACAAGTCGCAAGCGGTGCCCCTCCACGAGCAGCCCTACCTTACCTTCATCCGCCAAAACACTGATGCTACATATTGTGCAACTGAATCTCAGGGCAGACATAACTGCATCTGGTCAACATGGAATTGCCCTCTGCTTGATGCTTGCCCGCTCTTTTGCAGCGTCCCGTCTTGTTGGTTGAGATAGGCGTGGCATGTGCCGTACCTCGCCGGCCTCAGAATTTGGGAAAAGGGTGTGTATTACCGCGTTGGGGATTCTGGGTCACTGCCTTTGCAAGACGCAAGCTTCCAAAGCGCCGGGACCGGTTAGTGTTAGTGTATCTGAGAATCAAAGCTTTTGTGGCCGGGAATCAGACCGACCCAACTCTGCTCATGGTCTTTCCCACACCGCTCGCCGGGTATGCCTTGCCAGAGGGGGTGACTGTCCTGGGAGCGGCAACCGCGCAAAACTTCACTTTGCGACGCCCCGTTTCGGGGGTGTCCCGAGGCACGTAGATATTTCATGTAGGCCTGCAAGCAGCTGACTGTTTCTGCCATCCGGACTCCTCGATTGTTATGACGATATGTCATGTTAGGGGTCCTAACACGGACCCAGTCCAAGCTCCCCCTTCAAGGCCCAGGGCAACCAAGTACGTAAAGGCCTGCGGGGACCCTGAGTAAGCTCCCCCCTCGTCAAGGTGCCCTGCGCTCTAGCTCCAGTCTGCGCATCACTCAACCCCCCTCTCTCCCAGGGCGGTAGAAATACCATTATCCCCGAAACTTGGTCGGACTCCGATTAGTTTTCCCATCCCTCCTCCTGTCAACAAAAAAACTTTCTGTCCTCTTTGCTGCCGGCTTCCCTGAAATCCCCTCAGCTCCGTTTCCCTGCCTTTTTGAACACAAGACCCTGCTGGACAGAACCAACCGACAAGATGGCCGCTGACCTGCACACTGCTGGGTAAGTCCGTCCCGGACCCCGCCATTGAATCATCGCTCTGCTTCCTGTGGAGCTCAGGACGACCAGGATAGCTTTGTTCGAGCCTTGCGCGCTCGCGATCTCGACGGTGACTGCATTCGGTGGTGGTTTGCCCCAAGACGGCGATGGCAGCATACGAGATTGGGCCAGTTTCTGGCGGAAACAGTCACAGGAGGGAGAGCGCATAGACATTATGCTAACGATCCGAACAGGGCCGTCGAGCTCAAGGAGAACACTGTCATCGTTGTCCTTGGCGCGTCCGGCGATCTCGCAAAGAAGAAGACTGTATGTGTCATAGAGAGAGGAAATTCTAGAGTGTGTGCCAGAGCCATTGAGCTAACTTTGTCATCACAGTATCCAGCCCTTTTCGGCCTCGTAAGTTAGCAAAGTCCTCTCCCGAGGGCCTCGAGATTAGATTACTAAACTTCGACCCCCCCCCCCCCGCGATAGTACCGGAACCAGTTCCTGCCCAAGGACATCAAGATCGTCGGATATGCCCGGACAAAGATGGACCATGACGAATACATCCGCCGAATCAAGACATACATAAAAACTCCCACGAAGGATACGGAACAGCAGCTGGAGGAGTTCCTCAACATCTGCTCATATGTCTCTGGTCAATATGACCGTGACGAGTCCTTCCAACAGCTCAACCAGCACCTCGAGAAGCTCGAGTCCGACAAGAAGGAGGCCAACAGACTGTTCTACATGGCCCTGCCTCCCAGTGTTTTCACCATCGTGTCGCAACATTTGAAGAAGTGCTGCTACCCATCAAGGGGCGTTGCCCGTGTCATTGTGGGTTGATTCCAATTCAGCTAGCTCAACACCCTGCTAACCAACCTGACAACTAGGTCGAGAAGCCATTCGGCAAGGACCTTGCCAGCTCCCGGGAACTGCAAAAGTCTCTGGAGCCCGACTGGAAGGAGGAGGAGCTCTTCCGTATCGACCACTACTTGGGCAAAGAAATGGTCAAGAACATTCTCATCCTTCGATTCGGTAACTCGTTCCTCGGTGCCACCTGGAACAGGCACCACATCGACAATGTCCAGATCACCTTCAAGGAGCCATTCGGCACCGAAGGCCGCGGCGGTTACTTTGACGAGTTTGGCATCATCCGTGACGTTATGCAGAACCATCTTCTCCAGGTCCTTACACTCCTCGCCATGGAAAGACCCATCTCCTTTTCGTCCGAGGATATCAGAGATGAGAAGGTGCGGGTACTCCGCGCCATCCCCGCCATCGAGCCCAAGAACGTCATCATTGGACAGTATGGCAAGTCGCTGGACGGCAGCAAGCCCTCGTACAAGGAGGATGACACAGTGCCCAAGGATTCGCGCTGCCCAACATTCTGCGCGCTCGTTGCCTACATCAAGAACGAGAGGTGGGATGGCGTACCGTTCATCATGAAGGCGGGCAAGGCGCTTAATGAGCAAAAGACCGAGATTCGTGTTCAGTTCAAGGATGTTACCTCGGGCATCTTCAAGGATATTCCACGCAACGAATTGGTTATGCGCATTCAACCGAACGAGAGTGTCTACATCAAGATGAACTCAAAGCTCCCCGGTCTGACCATGCAGACGGTCGTCACCGAGTTGGATCTTACCTACCGCAGACGCTTCTCGGATCTCAAGATCCCCGAGGCCTACGAGTCGCTTATCCTGGACTGCTTGAAGGGTGACCACTCCAACTTTGTTCGTGACGACGAGCTCGACGCCAGCTGGCGCATCTTTACTCCTCTCCTCCACTACCTGGACGATAACAAGGAGATCATCCCCATGGAATACCCATATGGTACGTTGAGACGATAGACAGCATGACTGAGTTCAGATACTAATTGGTGTTGTTCAGGCTCGCGTGGCCCTGCCGTTCTCGACGACTTCACATCGTCGTACGGATACAAGTTCAGCGACGCTGCTGGGTACCAGTGGCCGACCACGTCGGCTCTGGGACCTGGAAACAAGTTGTGAGTAGCTTGTCACATACTGCATGGCGTTTTGTTTCTGGGGCGAGGTTTCTGCTACAGTACGGTTGAGCACCCGTTAAACTCTGGCTTTCAACACAGTTGAGCGCATCTCGAACTTGATGGCGACAATTTTTTAGCAAATGGGGATATCAGTTATTAGAAACGACCGGTGTTTTTGTATGGGAAAGAAACGTCTCGGTTAGACTTTTCAGGGCAGGAAGCCGAGCCGGAATGGGCGGGAACAGGGACAACGACGAATGACACCAGAGGAACCGTCTTTTTCCCCCCCTTCATACGGGCTGGGCAAGGTTGTTTGTGTTCTTGATGATCGGGTATAGGTAGCCAGCCAACATTCGTGGGAAGAGAGGAATGGCTTAAATAACGAAGTCTGTGTTATTATTATGAAAATATTGTTCCGATTTGACTCTGATGCGTCAACCATTGATTTAAGAAGTGAATATATATAACCAGCAATACTTAGTTCTCTATAGGTAGGTTAACTGACGTCGATTAAAAGCTGATTACGGATACATGTAAATATGTGGAAATTACCGGCGGTTTACCTGATAAATACCGGTGGCTTGAAAACATGCACAATAAGTGGGGGTGAAAACAGTGGATGCCCTGGATCTTAGGCAAAAACGGCACCCAGCCAGCTCAGAGCGAACCAGCCTCAACCCCAGCTGCAACTCTCTTTGAACTGGAACATTGAAACTGCCCCATCACCACGAAACTCGGCACCCGACGACCGCGACTGCGCAACAGAAGCAGTTCGCACCTCAACGACGTCCAGGAGCACATTGTTCCGTCGATCTTTCCACGTCGATAACGACCCGGCTTCTGCGCGTCCGCTGCCCTGAGTACGCCTGTCGCATCGAGCATCCGATTCTTTTGGCGTTTTGGCTTTCGGCTGCCTTTTTGCTTTTGAGCAAGGGCGGTCCCTCATAGCGACGAGCAACGACCTAGTCCTTTCCTTTCTTCTTCGACCTTTTCTCGGTGGAGCCGACCGATTGTCGATTTTTCCACGACCATACGAAGATTTACCGCCCCTCCGTGTCGCAGGACGAATCCCCCAGCCGGTACATGAATTTTCGCCCTACTGCCGGACCGCTTTTCTTCTTTTAGTCGGCTGTTGTTGGCGCATGCGCTCCGCGACCGTGTGCGGCGAACCTTTGATGATACGAACGACCGACACGAACAACAACGAGCGAGCGGCCGACAGTTGCCGAGTGTGTGCGCGCGGTCACTGCGATTGAAATCTGAAATTGGAGTGACTGGCACCTGCCATTTTACCCCATGGTGACGACTTCCTAGGTGACCGATTACCCGCTGGCCTACCGGACCTACGCGTTCAACGTCGCGTGTTGCCTGTTAGGATTACTTTACAGGCAGTCGGATTCGGCAGACGTCATTGCGAAAGTCCCACACTGTTTACTGGCCCTTTTCGAGGACATTTGAGCAGTTTGGACGACGGGTGTGTTGACGGCAGCCGCCGACAGCAGTGCGGGAGAGAGCCGCTCCAGCAAAAGATGGCGGGCGCGTTCAGGATGGAAAATGGTACACAGAATGGCGTGCGCAGCAATCACGACAGAGAGGGGTGGACGAACGGCGTGAATGGGGACAATATCAAGCAGGAGCACCGTTCGGAAAAAGGCAAGGGGGTTGCTGGCGGTTCGGGGATGGAGGCTGGGTATGCTGGCAATGGGCCACAGGTGAAGCTGGAGGAACTACCAGACGAGCTCCAGCACATCACGGCCGAGATAATACCGCTCAACATGCTGCTTTCACGGCTGGCGCAATACTCGCACGGGGCCCTTCAAGACCAGATCTTACGGCTTGAGTCGATGCCATTACCGCAGAACCTGTCCAATGGAAACGGCAACTACCACCCCACCACACAGGAGGATACTTCGCCGGAAAGTTTGGAGAAGAAGAGGATGCTTCTCAATTTCATACAGGATCTGCACACACGATGGGTTAAAGCTCTGGTTCTGACGGAATGGAGTAAAAAGGCGGACCAGGTTGGGAAGCTCATCGACATCAGGACTCATCTGGCGAGCAAGCTCGAGTTGTTTAGCGTGACGATCTGGGAAATGATCAAGACGAAGCAGGATATGTTGTGGGCCAAGATTCCGAGTCCAGATCTCAAGACTGCGCTTGAGGTTCTTGCCCGCCCGAAAATCCATTGGATGCCTGACGTAAGTATTATTATGTTGAGATGAAGCGTATTCTGGCGATGTTAACATGACCTTGCTGCAGTTTGACTATCTGCCACTTCCAGAAATCACACCCGAGGAATCGGATGCCTGGATTGAGGAGGTCAACACCCTCTTGAGCGCCAGACTCAGCCTTGAAGAATTTGAAAGGATACCAGCGCCATTTGCTGATTACAAAATCGACTCTGGTGTCGCCACGTTCTCTATCCCGGGTGAATTCGAGGTTGACTTGACGATTGGGGACGATGACTTTGAGAAGCAGTTCTGGTTCATTGATTTGAGAATGACTTATCAACCAACACCACCGCCACTCTCGGAGCAAGCCCGGTTGGCTGCCGAAACGAAAATAAACAACGCCTTGGGGACCGATGGGTTGCTGGGCGCTTACAACTACCTTCACGACCTTACCTTGACCGCCAAAATCGGGGAGTTCACCCGTCAGGCTTGGCAATTGCGAGCGGGCAGGTGGGCTGACTGCTTGCAAGTCGAGCGGCTGAATCGTGCTGTGGCCGTCCACTACTGGGCCAACCGTCCTCATTCCAAGGGCAACAAGAGTTGGATTATTCTCGGGGTGAACAGCAGTAAAGGCGAGGATGGAAGGCCAGATCCGAAACACCCGAGTTACATCACCCTTCGTTGGTTCCGTGACGGTGTCGAGGTCAAGGACTTTGACATTAGCTTTGACGTGGACAATATCAGCATGGATAGTCTCTTGGAGGCTGTCATCTCGAGGCATATTGAGCACATGCTGTCGTCCATGTACAACAAGCTTGCGAGCAAGCCTCGGTTTACTCATAAGCAGGGGAGGCTTACGCTGTGCGGGTCCAGGAAGACACCCGGGGACTTTACACTTAGGATGCAGGTCCTCGATGACAAGGATGTTACCGTGGGCATGGATCTTTACACAGGGGCGTTTACCCTGCAGGCTCAGTCACCGATGGCGGCGGACGTACAGAGGAGGCTGAACACGTTTGCGAACCCGGCCGAGGAGGGTGCGAATCTGTTGGAACTGTTGCGCTGCCACTATGTGACCACTGCCTTGATGAGCAGGGCTAAGAGCATTCGGTGGATGGTGTCGAGAGGGTCGCCGCTCAGTATGGACGAGATGAAATCCATTGTCTACTCTGGTCCTCCGTCGACGAGGGAGCCGTTCCAGACGGTGTGGATGAAGAAGGTGGGCTGGAACCCGCAATGGTTCATTTTTATGAGCATGAGCCTTGGCGGGGACCAGTGGTGGCTGGTTGAAATGTGAGTTTTTTTCTGGCCGTTCGTCTCTGACAATGCGAGCGTTATACTAACATGATCAAAGTCCTAACCCCCAACAACAACAACGGCCAGGCGCAACCGGCACCCGGGTCAAGATGTACACCAAGATGCCCATGGCCACCGAGCAGCTCCGCCTTTCGGATCAGTTTTTTGAGAACCTTACCCTTTATGCGACCGGCATGATTGCGCAAATCACCGATCTCCGTGAGCTCCATAGTAAGCGCATGGCTCACACCACTCGCGAGGCTGTCAACTACAGTCTTCCTGCGCAGATCAAGATGCCGACGGTGTATGTCCGGTTGTCAGACATGCTAGGCCCCAAGGGTGGTGGTCGTGGGCTGTGCTGGGCTCAGGAGTACATCCCTATCGTCTTCAAGGGTGTCCAGGCGGATAGCCCGATGAAGATAATCGCCGAGGCGAAACTCACAGTGACGAACCGGAAAAGGTTTCAGTTTTTGAAGGGGAATGTCGACCATGACGTCAACTATAACCCGAATATCGGGCAGTTTTCATTGAGGCTGAGAGGGGAGATGGGGGCGACGGTCATAACGCTGCTTACGTCCCGGATCCAGGCGCTGGATAAACTGATTGAGCTTGTTGAGGCGATTGGGAGGGCTGGGAAGGCGGTGGGTTCACCAGAGTGTGACGCTGAGGGAGGTGGTGTTTACTTATACTGATAGCGTCCCGACGGAAAGTCCTGAACAGCAAGCACCGAACAATACCCGACAACAACAACATCGACCGTGGAGAGTCCGCCTCGACCTGACAAAAGAACGGGGGGTGAAGGTTGATCTCGAAAGGGGCAATCCCCACTACCCGGTTATTGACTACATTAGGGAAATGGCCAACTCGCCTGACTTTGAGAATCTACCGTCGTGGCTGGTGCTGAGTCTACCGCTCTATCGGGCGCTGGAGAAGTTGGGTGGTGTAGAGCAACCGGGGGTGGTGGTCACAGTGCTGCACAGGGGGCTGAACTGGGTGACGATTCGGTGGGTGGTGCAAGGGAGGAAGGTGAACGTGGAGGTGAAGCCGAGGAGGAGGCAGGGGACGTTGATGTGGAGTTTGTCGAGGGTGGTTGATTCCCCGGATTCTTCTTCTTCCAAACCACCTCCACCTGAACAAAATGACGAGTTTCAGAAGGTGCTGGTGGAGAAGGTTTGGAACGAAAAGGGGAACGGGTGGAAGGGGTTGACGACGGGGGCGGCGGCGAGCTTGGAGGGGGGGGTGGAGGAGATTGTTGGGTTGGTGGATGAGGTTGTTAGGGGTGTTGCTGTTGGGGGACCTCAGCAACAGCTGCCGCACCATCAGGGCGCTCCTCCGCAACCGACACCGCAGCAGCAGTTCCAGCAGGCGCAGGCGGCGAGGTTTCAGCAGCAGATGCAGCAGAGGCAGCAGCAGCAGATGCAGCCGGCGGCGAATATGACTGGTGGTCCTCCTCCTCCGCAACCGGTGATTCCACAGGCGAATATGATGAACCGGGGAGCGTCGGGGCAGGGTCAGCAAGGGAGGCAAGGGGGAACTAATCAACAGGGTGGTTATGGGAGTAGTATGGCCAATGCGCTCGTGTTGGATTAGATGTTGGCACGCGGGGGAGGTTGGGATGGGGTTAGGACTTGAAATCACTGGCATCAGCGATAAGTAGCAAAAAAGCGAATACGTTGCTGTTAAGGGGGTTTGGGGGTGGGGGGCATAGCAAAAAAGCGGAGATGAATAAACCGCGGGAACAAACATCTTTTTATGCTTTTGAGGGTGGTGGCATGTTTTGGTTTTGTGTTTATAAAGACTTTTTTTTTGACACCCCCGAAGAAAGTTCTGGAGGGAAGGTATATGCATTCATTGCAAACGTGTGGCATGGCATGGCATCGCCATTGGGGGCGATCAAGAGAGAAGATGAATAAAGGAGATTCATAACATGAGTTTGGTCATTGGCGAGGGTTGATGTTGTTTGATGATGATGTTTGGTAAAATTAGAACATGATACCAAAGCGGAGTTTTTATGGGAGATTTTATTTTATACATGCCTGTTGGATGGGTGTGGTTGTTATGTGATGATGAGCGATGTGAGATTTATCGGTGTTTGTGTGGGTGTGAGTGTGAAGATGAGGGCGAAAGAAAAGTATTTTCTTTTCTCGACGCTCGTCTGTCTCTTGGTATTTTTTCCCCCATAATTGAAATTTAGTTCTGGGAGGTATTTTGCTTGAGCTGTGATGGGTATTGACACCTGTGTAATTTAGGTGATCTTCACCTTTTGCTCCTTTTTCTCTTTGTTTTTGGGAGAACCTTTACGGAGGCCCCTGTTTATCTAACCAATGCCCCCTCCCCCTTCCCCCTCAACCATTAATATAGGATTTAATTATATTTCAAAGGATAGTTATTAAGTGTTAAAGTATATGTAATAAGCCTTAAAAGATAGTTAAGAGGCTTTAAAAGATAGTTAAGAGGCTTTAGAAGATAGTTAAGAGGCTTTACAAGATAGTTAAGAGGCTTTACAAGATAGTTAAGAGGCTTTACAAGATAATTCAAAGGCCTTTGAATTATCTTTTAAGGCCTTTTACTATATTACAAGAAGGGTAAGTAAATCGGTAGATAAGGAGGGGGGCGCTGGTAAGATAAACAGGGGGCACCGTAATGGTTCCCTCTTGTTTTTCTCCCATATTGACACAACCAACCTCCTTGTTCATATCACGACACCTTCCCAACAACCACCCCAAGAGCAAAAGAAATTAACAAAATCTATATATATTTATCCCATAACCTATCAATACACATTCCCATTTTTCCAAACCCCCCTTATCTATCTCCCACGCGCCTCGCTCGCTCCCCACCTAATTTTCCACCCTCCTCTTTTAAACCCACCACCACCCTCCCACTCACTCACTCCTCCCTCTCCCTCTCAGACTCCGCACGCTTCCTCCTTATAATCGCCAGCCTCCTATCATGCCCCCTCAACGCCGTAAACCCCGATTTATCAACCCTAACCATCGACCTCACTGGCGCCGCAAACCTCCACAACCCCGTATCCCCCACCGTAATCGACTTTGTCTCCACCGCCCTAGTCGCATCCTGCCAGTGAAAACTCCCCCTAATCTGCCTAGCAATATCCAGCGCCGCCCTAATAGACGGCAGCACCCCCGGCACCTGATATGACCCCCCCGCGACAGCAACCCGTCCCCTAAACGCCGCCAGCAACTCCTCATGCGCAGCCTTCATCCGCTCCCGGTGACCGACAAGCTGCTGAGGGATGCAATCCTTACAGAGCTTCGTGCTGACAACAGCAGTGTCATTCGTCGCTCTCGAAAAGCCGAGGTGTCTCGCCACAGCTTTCTTCGCGTATCTAATGGCAGTTTGCTCGTCGGGGATTTCATGCGGGGGGAGGTGGTCCCAGTAGTGGCCCCCCATCATGACGGTAAGTTTCGTTCCCCTGATCGTGTCCTTGCCTCGGTTGATGTACTGCCCCGGCCGGTGGGGGTTCGGAACCCATTCCCTGTCCGAGTCGAACATCACCCCCAGGATGAAATGTCTGTTTTCTTCAAACGGGACAGATTGTGGGATGAGATATCCAAAGCCCTTGTGTGGGTGGTTGAGGCCTGGTTCTGGATACCACAGGTTCACCACCCGGATGGTCGTCGCGGTTGATTTCTCCAACGAGGGGAGGGTGCCAGGGGAGCAGATATCCGCGAGTGTTTTGGCGTAGAGCGTCGAGATGACCTTTTCGTACGTGATCGGGGTCGGCTGTTTGGACGTCCTGATAGCGACACGATCCGCCTTGGCGGCATATGTCATGGACGTAACCCGATGGCCCAACCTAATCGTGACATTTCCCCGCTTCTTCAAAAACTCCACCAGCGCGTCCGTCAGCTCGTTGAGGCCAGAAGGGAACCAATGCGCCGAAGTGGTGAGATGGTCCTCGGCCAGTTCCCTGCATGCATCTCTCCGTACCCAGTTCAGCAGCTCGGCATCTGGGGTATCGAGCCAGGTGTACGCTGGAGGTAACCGGGGGTATCTCCCGTCCTTGAGGACATCCCAAAACGGCGTCCTCTGCACGCTCAGCTTCCAGACGTCACCACCATAGATGCCGTGCATGACCGCCGAAAGGACATTCTCGACCAAGTCGGGGCGTCCAAACATTTTCGTAAAGTGTTCCCCCACCGAGAGTTCGTTCTTCGAGTGAGCATCCTGTGTAGGAGGCTTGAGAGTGCTGGTAAAAAGTTGCCGTAACCTCGTCTTCCCAAAGCTCCAGAGCGACGGAAACAACCCCTCGAAAAGCGGTTCCTTTCTCAAAGTCTGCCATACTTCCAGCAGGGTCATGGACTTGTCCGGGAGCTGAACCAAATGGTCAGGGTAGTAAATATACTTTCCCATAACCTCCGTCTCAGGCGCGTTCTGGAGCTGCTCAGATAACCCCAGTTGGGTAACCTACAACACACTCACTCCATCATCAGTTTCCCATCCCATCCCCACCCAAACAACTTCCACACAAAGATATTCTTACGTACCAGGAGATAAAACGCCAAATCATCGTACCGATACAACGGCCCCTTCGAATGCTGCGGGTTGACCATCCTCGCCCCCCTCTGAAACCACACACTCCCCTTCTCCCCAGTCAGCCCCTTCACCTTGACCTCCTCCGAATCGATCCACCCACCAAGCCGGTTGCTCGCCTCGTATATCGTGATCTTCATCTGCGGATGCCACCACGCCAACCAAAACGCAGTCGCCAGACCCGTCAGCCCGCCTCCCAGAACCGCAACTGACGCGGGCGGCCTGTCGAATATGGTCGGCAACCCATCGACGTCACCATGGTTCGATTGCCTCCTGACCGAGGTGGTAGACAAAAGGCGGCTGTATCTCGGTGGCGATGATGAGCGGAGTGAGCTTGAGAGATGAGAGGATGTGATCAAGCGTTGGCTTCGCGCCAAGCAGCGCTGGCTAGTGGCGAGCATGATGATGAGTTACTCGACGACTGCATCTCACATACCAGGCGTCCTGACGAAGCAAGCTTTCAAGAGAGATATCGGCGGGCGTGGTCGGCAATGGTGGAAACGCTCAAAGTGAACATCAAATCACCATTCGGATACGTGAGAGGAAGGTGGCGTGTGGGTTACCGGATTAAAAAAAAATGGAGCTCTCCGTCATTTTGGGACATCAAATTGAAATTTCGGTATTCACTGGAATTAAGCAAATCACTCGATAAGAAACCATGTTTTGCCCGCTTCACAATCCTATCATTATGTTTCATCCTGTATAAACCGCTCTTCTACGGATTCCAAACATGCTGCCCTTAAACGCCGGTGTGGTTTCCTATAATACAAGTACAATACGAACAGGTTTCCCCCCCACCCACACATTCCCAGGGGTATTCCTCCGTTCTTGCCCGTCTGCCATACCCCGTATTCCTCCCCTTCCTCCTCTCTCCCAAACTCTTAGACTACCACCTCTGGAGAAGCAGCATCGTCTGGATGTTCTGACCCGGGAAGCACGAGGTCCTCCGGCCTGTTCTCCTCCACAAACTTGCGATCGCTGACATGTTCTTTTGACCCGTCCGCCGTCCAGACCTTGTCCTGGAAAGTCCCCCGCTGTCCTTCCTCGTGCAGGAAGGGGCAGTTCCGGTTGGTGCAGGGGTGGAATTTGCAGGCTGTCTTGACGTGCGTAAACTTGCAATTTGGAATCTTGCACTCGCCGCCGTTGCGACACGCGGGGAAGGCTGGGTGGCGGAAGGTGCAATGGGGGTTGGAGCAGTTGGGGAAGAATTTGCAGTCTTGTTCGCTCTGGTGTGCCATCTTGCTGGCTGGCGAGGGATGCCGACCAGTGCACTTCCAGTTCTTGCACGCTACCCCAAAGCTGCAAGTATCCGTGACGTCCACCGTGGTGTTGGGAGGTGCTGCCGGAGACTGATGGGCGAACTTGCAATCCTTATTGCCGCACCGCAGGTTGTAACGGCATACTGTCTCTTCGGGGTTGGGAGCCTCACGCTTGGCCCCGCCCATCTCAACGTCTTCGCCTTGCTGTGCTGTCTCGTCCTGGGCCCCTTCCGAGGACTGCTGCTGCTGTTGTTGTTGTTGTTGATGATGGTGTGTGTTGTGGCCGTTGAAGTGGCCGCCGCCACGGCGGAACTGGTTCCCTCGGTTGTTGCGGTCGAAAGGCTTGCCACGCCCATTGCCATTCTGCTGTTGCTGCAACATGAGCTGATTCTGCATTTGCTGGAGCATGCGGTTTTGCTGTTCCATTATCGCGTACAGGTCGGGTGGCACAAAGCTACCAACGCCGTTCATGGGATTCATTCCGTTCATCGGTCCCATAGGTCCGGGGGGCCCAGGCATGCCGTTCATGTTGGCTAACCCGGCGGCGATATTGGTGGCGCGAGCGTTTGTCGTCCTTGGCTGTCTCCCAACTCCCATCCTCGGTCCGTGTGGGGGGCCTCTCCCAATCCGCTCACTTCCGGACTGACCGCGCACACGATGGAGAACATCCTGTCCTGATCGATCAAGCGCACGGTTGATGTGGCCCACCATACGCTTCTCACGGCCGCCGCGGAGGGGAGCGCCAGCGCGCATTGCTTTTGGCCCGGTAGGTCTGTCTCTTTTGTTAGCAGCTGTCGCCAAACCATTTCTAGAGCTGGTTAGAGGGACAATAACATACGCATTGATGGCAGGCGCATCTGTATCCATGTTGAGATCAAAAGTTCCCTCCATTGTGTCATCCCCGGCTGTGTCCATTTCGTTGTTTCCAGTGGCAGGCTGCGCAGACTGGGCGCCTAGTTGGCTGTTGAGAGCGGCGACCTGCTCGAATAACCACCTTGAAAACTCGGGCACACTCTGGTCCTCGGGACCCAAGCCTAGTAGATCGCCGGAGATCTCGCTGGCAACCTCGGCTTCTGACTTGCCGTTGGCGAGCATGAGAACGAAATACTCGGCCATGGAAGCACCCTCGTTGCCGGGACCGGCCCATCCAAGTTCAGCAATCTTTGTCTGGATGGCCATGTTAAGGGCATCCGCCAAAGGCGTGCCGATCGCGACTTCGATAGACATGGTCGCGTGGTGTTGCTGTTAGGCTAGCAGAGGAGGAATTCGGTGATGAAGGACCGATGGTTCGGGCTGTCGCAAAGAAGACAAGAGTTGCCCTGGCGGGGGTGTTCCGTTGTTGCGAAGAGATGAAATCGCTTGTTGTTGTTGGTTCGGGCCCAAGTCGAGGATGGGCTCTGTGGATATGGAAGCGGCGAAGTCCTTTGAAAGACAGCGGAGCTTCGAGACGCGACCGCTCGGTGCGCGGGCTGACTGATACGGGGCAGAACCTTCGAGGCTTGCGAAGGAGGGGATTTATTCGGTTGATGAATAAGAGGGTCCTAGGGAGTTGAATCGCAGGAAGAAGCGTTCGTTTGTGGTTGGGGATGTGGTGGAAAGTTTTACGAATATCATTCAACTGTGTGAGCCGAACCTTGCGCGACCAGGCTGAATGAGTTCTCCAAGTTGTGTGGCTGGTGAGTGTTTGGCGCAGTGGCGGCCTTCACGTGACTCGGGCTAGTGAGGAAGAATAAGAAGGCACGGACCATGGCGTCATTGAAGAAAGTGGGAGCAAGTGCCAGTTCACTCGTAGTGCTTATTCAGCAGTGAGCTTATCTTATCGTTTCTGCATCTCTACGAGTTCTACCTCCTGTCAGTTACACACTGTCTTCCCAGCCACCACCACCTGCTTGAAATAGAACGGGGCTGGAACAACTTCCGTCAACTGCCTGCGCATAAACTGTGCCCCTATAGCTGTCAGGGTTCAGTTGTAAGCAACTGATCAAGTAGGCTATGGGAGCTATCTCGGCCGGCAGAGAAGAGCTCCCTCCGGCAGTGATCATCGTCATCAGGATCCCCGCAGGTCTCGGTTGGGACCCGCATCTGTACATCAAGGCAATCAGGGTACCGCAAACAAACATTCTACATGCCATCTTCTTCTTCCTCTTCCTGAAGTTATCTCGACTTTGGGAAAAACACATGCAAGCTGCTTAACGTGGCTTCGGCTGAGACTTGGCCTTCGGCACTTACACGGCCTATTGCCCAACAAGAGAGCAGCTACCTGGTTTAGACGTAACGTTGCGCCCCCTCACAGCAGCTTCAAAGATTTGGATCAACACAACTCTTCATCATCTGGACTCTAACAACCAGGTAGCATCGACGCCACAAAATTCCGCTGAGACCTGAAGCAACACCAACTGGCACACCTGGGTCGGTCTTGTGGTGCCCTGCACCGTGCCATCATCCCGTGCTACCAAGTCTTGATTGGATGCGGGAGCTCCATCCGGGCGCGGGCTGTGTGGCAGAATACCCGTTCGCGGTACACCGATTGAATGCATGAATTGGAAGACCAGCCCTTGAATGCCCATTTCTGATTTATATAAACATCATCCAAAGCCTGCTGCTCCCTCTGTTCTCCAGCCTTGGCCTGCCCTGCCCTGTCCCTGCTTTCACCCGCCTGCCCTTGGTTTGCCTTGGGGTTGAAAACACCACAGGCAGCTTCAAGGTCACCTTCTCCTGCTTTTCCCCCCAAATATTCCCGACCTCTGCGGTATTCCCACCTCCAATACAACCCAGCATGTTTTCTCGTTTGCCGTCGCTCGTGACGGCTCTCTGCTTTCTATACCCCCTCTTCCTCAACCCTGTAGCAGCTGTATGGCCTGCCCCTCAAAAATTCACCAAAGGAGATGGCGTCCAGTTTCTGAATCAGAACATTGAAGTCACATACAACGGTGCATTTGTACGCTGGTCTTCCTCTTCCATTCCTTCCTCTGAGCCACAGCCCCATGAATGCCCTGCTCACTGCTCGGATGACGTAAATGATGATGGCCAAGAGGAGGAAGTATTAACTGAAAACCTCGCCTTCCAACAGATCCCCTACACTTACGGCTACACGCCCTCCGGCTTCACCAGCAAAGAAATCGTCCAAGCCGGCGTCTCCAGAGCCCTCACCGGGATATTCAACAGCAAGTTTGTCCCCTGGATCCTCCACAAGCCAAACACGAAGTACGAACCCGACCTCGACAAATTAGAATGGCTCCAAACTCTCGAAATCATCCAGACAGCCTCGGACGACCGCTCCGCCTTCAAGCCACTAGCAGGCGAAGTCGACGAGTCCTACAACCTGACCCTAAGCAAATCCGGCCACGCCAAACTCACAGCCGTCTCCTCAATCGGCATCCTCCGCGGCCTGGAAACCTTTTCCCAGCTCTTCTACCAGCACTCATCAGGCACATTCTGGTACACCCCCTACGCCCCCGTCTCAATAACCGACTCCCCCAAGTTCCCCCACCGGGGCATCCTCCTCGACACGGCCCGCCATTTTTTCCCAGTGGAGGACATCCTCAGGACAATCGACGCCATGGCCTGGAGTAAACTCAACCGCCTCCACATCCACGTCACAGACTCCCAATCCTGGCCTCTTGTCATCCCATCAATGCCAGAACTTTCCGAGAAAGGCGCACACCACCCCAGCGAGACTTACTCCCCTTCCGACGTGGAATCAATCCAGAAATACGGCGCCGTCCGCGGGGTGGAGGTCTATTTCGAGATTGACATGCCGGGGCATATTGGTTCCGTCTCGCTGTCGCATCCGGAACTGATTGTCGCGTATAATGAGCAGCCGTATCACTGGTGGTGCGCCCAGCCGCCGTGCGGGGCGTTCAAGCTCAACAACACGGCTGTTGACGAGTTTTTGGGGAGGTTGTTTGATGATCTTTTGCCCAGGGTGGAGAGGTACGCGGCTTATTTTCACACGGGGGGGGATGAGTTGAATAGGAATGATTCTATGCTTGATGAGGGGATTAGGTCGAATAGTTCGGAGGTTTTGCAGCCGTTACTGCAAAAGTTTATTGATAAGCAGCATGAGAGGGTTAGGGAAAAGGGGCTGACGCCGGTGGTGTGGGAGGAGATTCCTTTGGAGTGGAATGTTACACTTGGAAAAGGGACGGTGGTGCAGAGCTGGCTTGGGGCGGGGGCGGTGAAGGAGTTGGTTGGGATGGGGCATAGGGTTATTGATAGTAATTATAATTTTTGGGTGAGTTTTTCTTTCTTTTTGATTAGGGAGAGAAAAAGAAAAGGGGGGGGGGGGGGTAAAGGCTGACATGATGATGTAGTATCTCGACTGTGGAAGGGGGCAGTGGATCACCTGGGAGAATGGGCTGCCTTTCAAGACGGGGTATCCGTTTAATGACTGGTGCGGACCGACAAAGTCTTGGGGGCTGATTTACTCTCATGATCCTACTGCCAACCTTACTGAGGAGGAGGCGAAGCTTGTGCTTGGGGGGGAGGTGGCGGTTTGGAGTGAGACGATTGATCCGATGAATCTGGATGGTATTGTCTGGCCTAGGGCGAGCGTGGCGGGGGAGGTGCTTTGGTCCGGGAGGGTTGATGATAATACCGGGCAGAACAGGAGCCAGATTGAGGCTTTTCCTAGACTTACTGAGTTTAGGGAGAGATTGGTCAGGAGGGGGGTGAGGGCGAGCCCGATTTCGCAGGAGTTTTGCGTGCAGGGTGAGCCGTGGGAGTGTGAGTTTGCTATGTGAGGCTGAGGTGAGGTGTGTCTGCTAGGGAGTTTCGAGTTTAATGCGGTTGGAGTTGTGGCTTGGCTATGTTGGTGCTGTGGTGGTGGTGGTGGTGGTGGTGGTGGTGGTGTTAGTCGGGACAGATCCGTATAAGTCGGGATTGTTCCGCAAGTTCCATCTCGGCCATATGGGATGATCTTGGCCGGTGAAGTAGTGTATATATTTTACTATTGTGAGTATTGTTATGGAAATGGGAACCATGTTGTCAAGGTGTCAAGAAGTAACGACTGCGCAGAACGGAAGTCGAGGGGCGTCCTTGCGTCTTTCGAGAGTGTTAGTTGTTACTAGCGTGGTATAAAGGTCCAAGATAAGGATCCCTTCAGACTTCTCTGCGTAGTACAACTCAACCTTCCAAGACGGACTACGGTTCAGCTTGCAGGCTCAACCCCGAGGGATCGTCTGTTTGTTTGCCCAGCTGGATAGCTGCAGCTAGTTTACAAGTATAAAATCATCATCTGACGCAAATTTTTGGTCCTCCCAAGAGCTTGTGTCTGCTGGTCTTTACCTGATGCAGAGCCAAAGCTGTGATTGGATTTGGAGTGCTCAGCCGTATATTGGCTGCGGGGAAAATGCAGGGCAGACCGAGGAAGGGTATAAGGTACTTTCATGTGAATTCTTGAGAGAGCTTCTCCAAATTTGGTGAGCTTTGTTGGCTATGGGAATGTCAGAGTGACACTGAGAATCGGAATGTTTGAGTGCCCCTGAGTTTGGCAGGAGATAGCTCAGAAACAATGCGGAGTTTGCAAATGCAATTAGACAATTCAGTTATAGCGAAGTCTCCCTTATGAAATCCAGTCTTGAACACTCGGCCGAGTGAGGTTGATTGCAGTGACGGCAGTTTTGCAAGAAGTCACTTACATGCGGCCAACAACGGTCCCTAATAGGGTTAGCCTTTGCCGGAATCAGTGGGTTTTCTGCGGTAGATAGTGGCAAGGTTAGCGCTGTTTGGCAGTTTGCGGGGGTGGAACCCATCTTCACGTCAGCACCTTGTTACGACCGAACAGAAGAACATTTTGGAAATCTTCAACAACCACAAGAACCGACAGTTCGCTCGTGTTATGCACAACTGGTCTCACCGTTACACTATATACAGTGTACATGGACCACACCGCCCCAATCGCGCACCGGATCCGAGCCACGCGATTTCTTGTGCCATCTTCCACCTCCTGGGTTGCTCCCGAGAGCTCGTCTCCCGTGAGCTTAACTGCCGTAGGTTGTATTCCGCCCGTACCACTCACGTCTGCCACAAAGATCCAGACGACGAAGTGTATGTTTCGATATGCACTTTCGACAGGAAAAAAACCACGCCACTTGATGCATCACGCACGATCCGCAACGTCCCAAGATGCAACCCCACAACTGGCCGTTTCCCCCGCCTTTTAGCAGGTCTTGTCAAGAGAAAGGAGCCTCGGCCCTGTCTGCCTTGGGATTAGTCCCCCGAACACCCCCCCAACAGATGACGCGCGGGTTGGCCCCGACCCGCCTGCCAGGAACGGGGTCTTTTTGCTCTGTCTCGAGAAAGGCGGAAAACATGGGATCGGAGAGCTTTTTGGAACTTCTCTTCAGCTAGCCGAGGCTTGGGATATGGCTTCTTTGTTTGGACTCAAAGAAGAAGAGAGGTCAGGATACGGGCCACACGTGCGCAAAGGTCGATGCTGTACCGCCATCGCAATGCTGGCCGCAGAAAGCGGAGAGAGAGGTCTGCTGGTCGGCTTGATTCCGACCCTTTCTGTGCGCAGACGCCAGGATGCTACTGTAGGCATTGCTTGGGGTGGAGCTAGGTGTGTCACAGACAATGAATGCCAACTGAACTTGGCTCTTTCCCAACTTCTTCTGAACCCCTCAGAGGCTCGCCTACGTACGGATTTCGGAACAACGGATGGAAATTATGCCCGCCCCCCGCGCCTGCTTCCCTGGGGAGGTAGGATTTTTTCTGTCTGTTGGAAAATCAGATGGAATAAAGAGCAAGGGAGCTGCACTTCTCCTGGTGTCCCACACTACTTGCTTACACTCTTGTCTCTGCCGTCATTGTCATATATCACCACATACACGCTCGTACCGGACGCATATCATACGGCCAGCATACGGTTGTACCCTCTAGGGACCGTGTTGATCTGCTGCTTTGGTTGCTCAACAACTGTTGACCCCTGCGGCGAAAACCTGGCTTTATATACGGCGGCAGCCGAGTCCAACCGGTGAGCCGTTCTTGGTCGCGGGCGGCTGTTTGTTTTTACTTCCCTCTACTCGTCTTCTCTGAGGACGCAGATACTGAGGGGAGTTATCTGCTCTACCCGCTAGTTCGGGGTGTCGTTTCTTCGTTGGCTTCTGTGCTTTCTTCAACACCAAGATGGGACTCGTTGAAACAGCTATCGAGCATGTCTCGGTTAAATCAGTGTTGATCCTCGGACCAGCACTGCTTCTGGCACATCTGGCTTGGTGGCTAGTTTTGAGGCCTGCATGGCAGGAAATCAAGCTTGCCCGGATGACTGGCGCAAGGCCACCAAGGATTCCCTCCAAGTTGCCGTTCAGTAAGATGTCTCCTCGGTCCCAGGTACTGTGTATGTCATGTCTAACCAACACAGGTATCGATTTTATTTACCGCAGCGTCAAGGCTTCAATGAACTACCAGAACCTCCCCATGTGGAAATCCCTCTTTGTACAAGCCAACTCATCAACCGTCGAGAACCGTATTGCTGGCCGCCGCGTGGTCATGACCTGCGACCCCGAGAACATCAAAGCTATCCTGGCAACCCAGTTCGGTGATTATGGCAAGGGCGAGCCCTTCCACAGGGAGTGGAAGGCCTTTTTGGGCGACAGCATTTTCACTACCGATGGAGATTTGTGGCATGGCAGCCGACAGTTGATCAGACCTCAGTTCATCAAAGACCGTGTCAGCGACCTGCACGTGTTTGAGAAGCACATGCAGACTCTCTTCCGGGCTATTGCGAACGGAGGAGCTCTCAATGGCGAGGGACAGCATGTGGATCTTGAGGCTGGCAATGGGAAGCCAGTTGATATCAGCGATTTGTTCTTCCGGTTTACACTTGACTCGGCGACAGATTTCCTGTTGGGCAAGGATGTCAAGTCTCTCAGGTATGCTTTAACAGATTAAGCCTTTCCATTTGGACAAGGGGCTGATATATGATGGAAATGTAGCAACCCCCGCCAAGAATTCGCCGAAGCCTTCGCCGAAGTCCAAAGAGTTCAGTCCATCATTAGCCGTGCTGGGCCCCTCAACGTCTTCGTCCCCCGTGGCTCCTTCCGCAGGGGCATGAAAATCATCAACGCCTTCATCAACCAGTACATCGAGCAGACCCTCCGTCTTGACCCTAACGACCTCGCCAGCAAGTCTGACGCCGGTTATACCTTCCTGCATGCCCTGGCTGGATTCACCCGTGATCGTCAAGTTCTCAGGGACCAACTTATTGCTGTCCTGTTGGCCGGAAGAGACACCACCGCTTGCACCTTGTCCTGGACCATCTACGAACTCGCTCGCCACCCTGAAGCTCTCAAGAAGTTGAGAGAGGAAATCTTGCGTGTGGTTGGTCCTACTCGTGCGCCTACTTATGAGGATCTCAAGGGGATGAAGTACCTTCAGAATGTCATGAACGAGACACTGAGGTTGTATCCTGTTGTGCCCTTCAAGTTAGTAACCCCCCCCCCCCCCTATTCTATACCTGAACATTATATTGACAATTCGTGCTCAGTGTCCGTCTCGCGCTCAAAGATACCACCCTCCCCCGTGGAGGCGGTCCCGATGGCTCCCTTCCAGTCAAGGTCCTTAAGGATACACCCATCGCCTACTCCACTCTCGTAATGCAACGCCGTGAAGACCTCTATCCCCCCGTATCCGCCAACTTCGCCCCAGTCGATGTCTTCAGCCCAGATCGATGGTCCGTCTGGCAACCCAAGCCATGGCAGTACATCCCCTTCAACGGCGGTCCGAGAATCTGCATCGGGCAGCAGTTTGCGCTGACCGAGATGGCATACGTGTTGACCAGGTTATTTCAAAAGTACGAGAGGCTGGACAACTACATGGGTGAGATTGATGGTGGCAACCCGTGCCTGAGGGCCGAGATTGTGCTGCAACCGGGTGATGGTGTAAAGGTTGGGTTCTGGGAGGCCAAGAAGGCTTGATATCAGGTATGGGGATCGGGGTTTTGATTTTGGGTTATGGTATATATCAGACTGTCTCACTCAGCGGCATGCTTTCTTCCTCTACAGGGATTTTGTATGAATATGATTTATGAGATTTTTACTCATCTATGATGTGTCTTTCCATCTCATCCCATCCGTGCCATCTCATCCCATCTCGACTGTTATATGCATATCTTGCATAACTCTGGAGAACGGCATCCGATGAGGACTATCCCGACTAAAGCTAATTACGTACAGACAGGTCACAAGGAGCGGTCAGTGAGCCATCCTTATCCTCCCTTCTTTTGTTAGTTTTGTGGACAACGGAACGGCCAGGTAAGCTTTGTTGCGGGCCGGGATGGGTGACTCGACCCGAAGGTAGCCGTTGTTAGTTCGACCCCGCCGTGTCCCGGTGGTGCTTATCACTGACGCTACATACACGTTGCACAGTCGTGCTCCATCAAGATATATCTCTTTCTTATCTTCTGTTGATACCATTCTCAAATAAATAGTGATATTGGTTTTGTATTGGAAGCTCTTTTGTTTTTTGTTCTGCATCATCAACCCTGGTACTCTCGGACATCTATCTCACTTACACACACACACAATCCCGGTCCTTGGCACGGCAACCGGAACGGAACACAAATATGCGGAGAGCTGCCCGTCTCGGCTCCGGGGCCGCTGCTGTGGTGCCCCGGTCTCGGAGTTGGGGTTTGACGTCTCGGCCGGGTTTCATCAACAATTATAAGAAAGCTCAAAGCAACAATGGCCAACAGGCATCATTTCACAGCAGACCAAAGTTAGATTCGGCTGCCGAGGCGACGGTGATTGGTGGCCCTTCACCTCTGCCTGAGGTTGAGTTGCCAGATATCCCAGAGACACCGACGAAGAATAAGAGGGTGACTATTGGCGAGATTTTGGAGAGGAGGAGGAGGGCAGGGAGGTTGGTGGCCCCGACGGCGGCGGGGTGTGATTCAGGGGTTTTCAAGGGGGATGTAAGTGCCACTCATGAACCGTTATTTATTGTCAAGCTGACATAGCTTCAACAGTCATCAGGAAAGCCGATGGCAAAGGATATGAGCCGTATGTCCCCCCCCCCTCACCAACTTTGGAACGTTTATTAACGTGAAACAGATCATCTCTCCTACGAAGCTTCTATCCGCGAACCATGCAAGCTCAAACAAGCTGCCCGCCACCTCAAAACCCCTGGCATCATCTCACTCGGCGGTGGCCTTCCGTGCCCAGAGTACTTCCCCATCAACTCCATCTCCCTCTCCGTCCCAGATTACCTTCACAACCCAACTCTCTCGCCCCCAGAGGTCCACCCCGCCTTCCAAGACATCACCATCGGCAAATACGACACCCATCCCTCAGCCCCAGTCCAAAAAGAATACGACCTTTCCATCTCACTCAACTACGCTCAAGCACATGGCTCGGCCCAACTCATCCGCTTCGTAACCGAACACACGGAACTCGTCTCCAACCCCCCCTACGCCGACTGGAAAACCTGCCTCACCGTCGGCTCGACCGGTGCTTTAGAGCAAACCCTCCGCATGCTCTGCGACTCCTCCAGAAACGACTCCATTCTCACAGAAGAATTCTCTTTTGCAACGGCCTTGGAAACAGCCCACCCTTTGGGCATCCCCACCTTTGGCGTCCCCATCGACGAGCAAGGCCTTATCCCCTCCGAACTAGACCACATCCTCTCAACATGGAGCCCTTCCGAACGGGACAACAAGCGAAAACCACACGTCTTATACACGGTGCCATCCGGTCAGAACCCAACAGGAGCAACCCAAGGCCCAGAGCGAAGAAAGCAAATCTACGACATCTGCTCCAAGCACGATCTGGTGATCATCGAAGACGAACCATATTACTACCTGCAACTCCCGCCCACCATCACCCCAACCCCTACCCCTGCCCCTTCCAACACAACCGACTTCCTCGACTCCCTCCTCCCAACTTTGTTAAGCATGGACACGGACGGGCGAGTCATCAGAATGGACTCCTTCTCCAAAGTCCTAGTCCCCGGCTCAAGACTAGGCTGGCTCACCGCCTCAGACCAACTCGTCGAGCGCTTCCTCCGACACGCCGAAGTCGCCAACCAGGGACCCAGCGGGTTCTCTCAGGTCATTTTACATAAACTACTCGACGAGACGTGGGGTCACGAGGGGTATCTAAAGTGGTTGATGGTGCTGCAGAGAGAGTACACCGAAAGAAGGAACACGCTCTTCAAGGCGTGCGAGGAGTATTTACCCAAAGAGGTGGTGAGTTGGGGTGTTGTGAGGGCGGGCATGTTTGTGAGTTGTTTTTTTTTTTTCTTTTTGTTTTTTTACCCCCCTTTACCCTTGGTATAGTCGCTGATATATGACAGCAATGGCTCCACCTAGACCACACCCTCCACCCGGACTCGAGAACAAAATCTATTCTCGAGATTGAAGAAGAGATTTTCGAGTCTTGTATCGACAAGGGAGTGCTCATCGCAAGGGGGAGTTGGTTTCGTGCCCAGCAGGAGGTGGCGCCGACGGGGCTGTTCTTCAGGGCTACGTTTGCGGCTGCTACGCCGGGGAATATGACTGAGGCTATCAGGCGGTTGGGCGAGGCGGTGAGGGAGAGTTTCAGGCTCTAGTTTTTATTTAGTCTTGCTCAAAAAAAAAAAAAAAGTGTTGGTGATGGTTCCCCCAAATATCCAAGACGGTTTTTTCTTTTCTTAACCTGGGTGGATATTAAGCCGCTTCATTGGCTTGTTTAAAGAGATATAATCCAATCCTCTCTTCAAGCAAAGCCCATGGGAGGCTTAAAGTCAGTCCACCTTGGTGAAGAAAAACATCTTAGGTTATGGGAGTTCATCATCACCACCTGACTGTCCTGTCTTAGGGCTATCTATCCCCCAAATTAAATCTACCAAAAACAATTGCAACCAAGTTCAATGTCGTGAATTTTTAGAGTACGTTTTATTGCTTTATTGTATTGTATTCAATACACCGACCGAGCTATATACATTCCCCCCATTTTTTCCCTTCCCCGGCACCAGCGAGGGATTGATTGTATCAGGAAACGGGGTTGTGGCAAATGATATCATCTGTGGTTCTCTGCCTTTTGATCCATCAATAGGATGGCTTCCTTTTATGGGCGAAATGATCGCACCAGGCAGGGCTCGTCGTATAGGTGAGTTCCTTCTGTCGAATCACCACCTCCAATAGGGAGGATTTAAACAATCCTGAGCCGATCAAAGTCGTTAACTCCAGATTGAAAACAAGAACCGAGGCGGTGGGTTTCTCCCTTTCCCCTGACAAAAAGAGAACCATATACACACACACTTCTTTTCCGTGTTGCCTTTATGTGTGTGTGTGTGTGTGTGTGTGTGTGTGTGTGTGTGTGTGTGTGTTGGTGTACCCCCGCTGATGTCTGTAAGCTATATACAAGGTTCTGTTTCCGTTCATGGCATGTTCTATATACAAGATTTCTTTCTTGAGATTTTCATCATGATAAAATTATTTGGGAACGATTTGTCCCTTTCATTAGGGTTGGTGTCATTTCATGCCATGCCATGTTGTTCTTCGTGTCCGAGATAATTGGTGTCGATCGGTCGAAGCGTGGATTGCGTCTCATGTTTTTGACAAGACGTCCACTGAAAAACTTTTGTTGTTGTTGTTTGTTTGGGGTGCCGCTCGCTGTTGATGATAATATTGATGATGTTGATGAAGTTGATGTTGATGATGTTGATGAAAAGAAAAACTGAACTGTTCCCTTTCCCTCAAAACGTATAATAAATGATCCCGCATGGCTGTGGTTCCCGCCCATGCTCTCTATGTAGAGGCAACACCGTAAATGAAAAAAATGGGGGGAATGATATCGCTCAAGGGACAGGAAATCATGGCTACCTCCTATGCGACAGAAAAACGCTCGTCGTCGTACTCTAACACCGGAACCAGTTGTATAGGCAATATGGTGATATGTTCGGGTGTCAGACCTTATGTGCCATGTGCATGTACGTGTGCGGGATGGTGATGGTTGAGACGGCGAGAGAGGAGGGATATGACAAAGCCACCCAATCTATCGTGCAAGGAAGAGCCCGAGTACAGTAAAAGACCCGGCAAACTTCAGAAGGTGTGGATTGGCGGGACAGCTTTTGGTACATCCCACAAATATGTCGATGATCGTGCCGTCCGTGATGTGAAAGGGATGATAGGCCTCGGGGATGAAAGTGTTGCTATGTCCTTGGCCTTGTGTTCAAGGTATTATTAGTGTATATCCATCCGGTTGATTCCAGCGGACGGTGTGGATTGCCAGGGTAGGTAAAACCGGCCCGGACCTGGCGTGAAGAATGTAGAAACGGAGAAGAAGCAAAGAAGGAAACCAAAGAGATAAACAAGCTGTGACTAAACAGAGCACGCGGCTGTTTATTGACGACCAAGCAAGAAGCGGGCCGTCTCTGACGCCTGAGTCTCAGTTTCTGTGTTCAAGTCACTCTCTTGGTCATGCTGAGTCCTGGGAAGAGTGGGCTCTGGCAAATCCCGGGCAAGTTCCTGCATCTCCTGATTGTCAAAAAAGGCCTGGGTGTGAGGATCCCAGTACTCCTGGCGTTGCGCTGGCATGCTGGAAAGAGAAATGTCTGAACTCATTGTGCTTGTCCTCTGGGAATACCTGGAGGGTGGACCATGTCGTCCAAAGTACAATGGGTTTTGGCGGTTGGATTCAAACTGGGGCTGGCGCCTGTCCTGACTGGACATGGACCGGAAGGACCGCTCCGTTGCAGCTCCAATTGTGACGCCTGTAAAGGGATAGTCGGCTGATATTGACAGGTGTGGTGACGCGGTTGCCATGTGCTTGTTAATCATAAGAGTGACAAGACTCCAGGCTGTTACGAAGAGCGGAAGCCAAGGCACCAGGTCCTTCCTAGTAGGGCCTGCGGCAATGACAACAAGCAATAATAGGACCAAGGCAACTGGGGCCGTGGAAGGTCCAGATCTAGATGATTGTTAGAGAAAAAACACGTGCGGCGTGACAGTCGTGGACAAAAGTACCTAATGAACGGCTCTGTATAGATTGCGTGGAACGCAATAGCCGTGATGATGAACAGAATGAGTGTGCTGTGACTCTGTTAGTATCTTCTATCGTATGGCCTACACAGTTTTACTCACATGGTACGGAAGGAGTTCCCTTCGCCGTTGGCCAAGGGGAAAAGAATAGATGTGCCAATCATGCCACCGCAGGACAAGATTTTGGCCTTACTATGAACATCTTGATCTCGCGCTCGTGGAGGCAGCTGCCCATGGGGAAAACCGGGGCGCTCCATCGTGCAGAAGTGGCAATAGGATGAGGGTTGAAAGCTCCTATGGCCTTTGCTGCCTAATGTCTGGCGAGATCGCGAGGTGGTGTAGAAAGAAAAGGGGCGATGTTGGGGCGAGTTGGTTGCAGTGTATACGAATAAACAGAATCCAGAGACGAGAGGGGGAAAAAATGCTTGACGGTCTGAAGGGGAGGGCCTGGACTTTTTACCGCCCACCTACGAGGGGAGCTTAGTAGCGTTTTCCAAATACCAAGCTCTGATAGCTAGCTCTACCTGTAGATGGCGCAGCTTCGCCTCACCACGTAGTCGAAGTGAACGTTGCAGATAAGTAAGGCCGCCAAAAGATGCGGGGGGGGGGGGGGCGCCAATGGCAACAAATCCGACAAGAATGTATGGATGCACTTACATGCAAACTCGCTCAGCTTCCTTGATATGAAGACGAAACCCACGCGGGCACAAAAAAAGGGAGCGTTTCGGTACCTCTTTGAGCTTCTCTGAAGCGTCAGATAATTCGGTTCGCATGCTTGAGATGGTGCGCGGGGTGGTTCGCCTGGTGAGGCTCAAAATAATGGTGGGGGGCGATTGGCCCGTAGTCTCGGTGAGAGCTGTCTGCCTGGAGGTCAGCCTCGCCATGGTGAGGCATCTCTTCCTGCAGCATGTGGTCGCCTTGCTGCTCATGCACACGCGGCATCACGAAGAGGCCTCTGAATCAGAGCCCGCGCACTTCTCGCCTATCGTTACTGGATTGGAATAAGATTGAGGGACAAGAATGCAACCACTCGGGCGTGGATGTTGGTGCATGAGTCTGGTGAGCCGCACTTGGTGTGATGATATCCGATGGATGCGAAGCATCAATACCGGAAAGGCAGGGAACTGGATTTCAGGTAGCCCGTACGGCGCTTCAGCATTTGTTTGACGAGGTCCCAGCCTTGTAGCAAGGTATCAATGATGCAGAAACCTCCGGTGTTCCTTTCGTATAATAGTCAAGAAGAACCCAGGCATTTGAGGTTGATTTTGGGGTTTTGTTCTGGGAGACCTCGTGCCAATTCCGAGAACAAGACCCATCAAAGTCCTCGGCACTTACCGATCTCAGAGTTCATTCTATTCCCAAGTTAGCCAATTGCTGTCTCCATGAGTTCAGAAGCATGCTGCCCTCTCCACCTACCGCAAACACCCACAGTCTTACTTCGGAACCCTGGGTGTTGGCCCTGGGCGATTGACACTGTCGAGATCTGCTTAGGCACTCTCTGTAGTGTTGTCACCTGGGAATACACCGTTCAAAACGATATCAATCGAGGATACAGCAGAGTCAGTCCAAGTCATCGCCAAGCCCAGCCTCTTGATCCCCAGCTAATCGACGTCCAGATCGACCTGAGGGCAGCTAGCAGCATGCAGACCAACCCACCACCACCACCGATGACTTCCTTTTTCATCCATCCCCGGGGCTGATGCTCTTCTCATGCCTGGTCTTTGGTTGCGCCGTGTCTTCGTTTACCCAGCGACGACAGAGCCAAGATCCTCTTCAACTATTTGTGTACACCACGCTTCTCGGTGCTGCAGCTCTTGTTGGATATGCACGTCGAGAGAGCGCCCACCTGATCCTCCTGGGGTACTTACCCTGGGCCACATGCGCGGCTATGACCCTAAGCATCTCAGGACATAGTCTGTACAGGTTGCTCAAGACTGGTTCTGGAGCGACCAAGGACGAAGAAAAGGCCCAACTTCTCGGTGGTTGAACTGCCGCCACAACGTTTTGCGTGACTGTTTGTTATAGCCTGGATTGCTATCAACGGTTGACTCAACAACATATTGTTTTTTTGACGGAGGAATTCGACTTTGCCAATTTGAAGGCATCGTCGCCGGTTTACGTTCCAGCCATGGCAGCAGAGCTTACCGCACACCTGCCCCCATTTACGTTTCACAACGCCAACCTCATCAGCCCAGTAATCACCTAGATGGACGCACCGGTTAGCTTATTATGACTTATGAACTTTGTTAAAGATAGTACCTCGAGCTACGGGTTTCCCGAGCTGTCTTGTATATCAGTCAGTTACAACGAGCGCCCTTGAGGCTGCCGTTGGATATAGCATACATAGCCGTCGCCCCAGCGGGAGGTTGGTGGATGGGGACAGAAAAGAATTCAATAAACGTAAACAACAAAGATGTGAGTCCAAGTCTGGCAAGGAGAGATTGCATGGGTTTGGAATTGGACTTTCCTGTAGGATAAGCCGGTGGCGTGATCCGGGGTGCGTTGTATGTCTCGATCAGTTGTCAGCCGGAGGTTTGTTGCAAAGTTGCCGTGATTCCAATCTTCAATCCTCTTGAGAAATAGATGGTGCAGAATCTGCCCACAGTCACCTGACGGCTGCACTCCCCAGGAAGGAGCAAACCATGCCCTCGAGGCAGGAGCAACGCTACCTTACAAACGTCATCACATCACTGCCACTGGCACTATGTTATGAAACTGGTCAATAATTATGCATATTTATGTCCTTCACCCGAGTGAAATGTCTACTCATCTACAATCCCCCATACTGTCTATCCCATCAATCATGTTAAAGCCCCAAACCCATGGTATGTTTCCCCTTTCCCGAACGCCATGCCCAAAATGCAAAAAGCCAAACCCGCTCATACTCAAAGCAACAAAACACCAGCACCCAGCACCAACGGTGCCATCATCAAAGGCATCAACTTCCCCCCTGCCTCGTTCTGCGGCGGTGCCCCAAGTGGTTCTGGAGGCGGCGCTTCTCCAGAGTTCGGTGTGTCCGCGGAACTTGAGCCACCTCCAGGACCAGAAACTGTAGGAGTGGTCTCCGTAACAAAAGTTGTAAAGGTCGTCGTCGTCAAAATATTCTCAGACCGAGAAGAAATTCCACCGTCCACAAGCGATGGTGACGACGAAGAGGAAGAATGGCCCAAGCAAGAGCACGGGATTGGGGGTGTCTACCATCACAAAGTTAGCCTTCCACTCCAAGACACCGAGAAGTGAAACCACTCTTCCCGAGCGCGCTCAGCTCTTCTATCAGGGGACAAAGAACGTTACTCACTCACAGTGCTACCCCCAACCGGCCTCAACTTCCCATCCGGCGTAATCCTCCACCCCTCCGG